ACAACTCTAGTTTTCTATGTAGGATTCTGTCCTGAAATTTCCCTTTAAAACTTTTGAACTTGTGTCTGCATTTGCAAAGTTTAAGTTAAAAACGTCATTGGGCTGATCTGCACTGAACCATCAGACTATTAACTGGTTTATTCTGAAGAACAAGTTGGGTTTGGATGAGACACCTTTTAACAATAGCAGTCTCCACTTACTGGAGGTCTGTTGTTTCAAAACTGACTCATTATTAAATAAACATATATTCTCTAAACTTTAAATTAAATTATAAATTGAAAATTATAACTCTGATAAATTATTTTAATATATATATATATATTGAAATACATAATTAATAAAGATATTTGAGAATATCTGTTAATTTTATTTATCTATTATCTAGCATTAAAGAACAAGATCACAGATTCAAGCGGCCAAAATGAATTTACTCCATGGGGTGTCTGGGCTCTAACTTAGAGAGTAGAGCCGCTGGTCCTCCACATTGAGAGGAGCCAGTTGAGGTGGCTCGGGCATCTGGTCAGGATGCCTCCTGGACGCCTCCCTGGTGAGGTGTTCCAGCCTGTCCCACCGGGAAGAGGCCCAGGAAAAGACACAGGACATGCTGAAGGGACTATATTTCTCAGCTGACCAGGGAACGCCTTGGGATTCCCCTGGAGGACCTGGAATAAATGGCTGGGGAGAGGGAAGTCTGAGCCTCCATTCTTGAGATGCTACACCCTTGACCCAACCTGGATAAGCGGAACAAAATGGATGGATGGACGGATGGACGGACGGATGGATGGATGGAAGGACGGACGGATGGATGTGTAAGTTTCTTCGGTAAAGAAATCATTTCTTGGTAGTTAAATTCTGCGGCTCCTTCTACGCTTCAATGTACCACAGTAGGTGAGACAAATTTTGTTCTATCAAGTTTCTGCATTAATTCATCCTAAGATAATCACATTTTGCATAAAATCCCACAAACAACATTTTTAAGCTGTTAAAAAGTTGACATTTATGATTTCAGAAGCCGTAAGTTAGTATTCAAATCTTAAATATAGGTGGAAGGAAAGAATTGACTTGAGAATTAAAGTGCACAAGTAGAAATTCTGGAAAAAACATTTTTAAAAAACCTCACAAGTCAATTGGAACTAGACTGGTGGGGGGTTTAATCATTTTCAAAGGCACAAAATACCAAATTGTTTCTCATTGTTTCTCTTTAATAGCATGTAAATGAAAAAAGTTCAGATATTTGCAAAAATTGTTTATTCCTTAGACTTAGGCTTCTTGTTCCTCACAAAATATTAACTAAGGCAGCTGTGATCAATAGAAATGTGACTTTAATAGAAAATGCCACAATGAAATTGTACCAAAATGTTCTCAAGAATGACTGTTGGACTGGCTGGCTATCTTGCTGAAATTGGTTCTGCATGCAGACTTTGGGCTCATGCTTGCATTGAAACATTACCTCCTTTTTGAAACGCAACTCAGGTGAAAGTAAGATTTTATATATTTCCTGTTGCAACATTCAAACTTTTATTTAGTAAAGCCTGTGAGTAACAAATGCAGCCCAATAGTATAAAACATGCATGTAATGAAAGAAATCAAACTCACCTGGATCCGTTCTGCTTCTAAACCTGGATGAGACGTGTGCACTGCCAGTCTGGGCCCATCGTGCCTTTTATACCATGTCAGGAATCGACCTTCTGCCAGAGCTCACTCGCACTTTACCGTTGTGATTGTTTACCATGTCAACACTTTGAGTTTGAGGTCAAAATATCCAGCTGCGTTGCTTTGTTGACTTCCTGAAATCTTAATGAAATTACTGGCTCTTACTTCCCTAATGAGGTCTAATCACCTTTAGAGAGATGGGTGCTGTTTGCTCACATGAAATCACCCACACGTCAGAACACACTATTGATCCAATAACACTCATTTATGTTCTTTTATTACCGTGGTTTGAACTATTTACCTAGTCATGTCTCTGCTGGTGCACATTTGGAGCATAGAAGATTTTTTTTTAAAGTTTTTGCCTTTTGTTGGATTTTTAAAATTATGAGTAAAAAAGTCATTAAATAACAACAAGGACACATTTTTTCTGCTTTTGGTGTTTGTTTTTTATCCAGATTGTTCATATTTTATTGTGAAGTCAGATTGGGGCTGGCCAGTGCTCTTAGTATTTATAGTCCATTTTCCAGTTCAAGCATCTTCATCATATCAGGACTGCGTAACTACTTTGAGTCATACTAATTTGGTATCATTTGTATTCATGAACCTTACTGGATTCAATAAATGTTAATTGAAGTCATGTAACCCAAAAGTTCAAACTCTCATATAACAGAGGTTATCAAACCGCTGGTTAAAAACAAAGAACGGTCTGGACAATTACAGGCCAATCTTCAACATTCCAGTAAAAAGCTGTTTCTTAACAATGACCAACTGCTTTGACATCTTTCAGTCCAGTTTCCATGTTCACCACAATACTAAGACTAAGACTGTCCTTGTCATTGTGTTCAATGACATCCACATGAAAACCACTTGACTACAGAACAGGGACTTTGTGTCAACAGGTAACGTCTCATTGGAGCGGACAGAAGTCACATGCGGGGTACCACAAGGTTTAATTCTGGGACCCTTCTGGTTAATATCTATTTAATCTGCTAGCTCAAATCATAACAAATAAGATTAGTTACAATAACTATGCATATAATACACATATGTCACTAAATGACTCAGAAATCACAAAAGCACTGAGCAGATGCTTTATTTACAGGCATGTATAAAACACATATAGCAAGAGAATTTTCCCATATTATAAGAGAAACAATCTGCCAAAGGAACAAGTACATTTCCATCAATATTAAGGAATTATTGACTTAAAACAAGTTCCTATATCTGGCTGGAAAGTTGCTTGCCAGTTAGCTTTGTTTTATTTAAAGTATACTGATATTTTCACTAGAAACTTTATCAAAAATACTCACTGTTTCAATCATGTCAAACAAAAAGACTTCATTTCATCAGCTGAGAACTTTAAATGCTGTCCCACAATGTACTGACAGTACTAAAATCTCCACAACAATCAGTGCCTACATTTGATCTAAAAAGGGTTTTCTACATAGATTCTAAAAGTTTCCACAACTATCAAACATATATCATTTTCCTTTTATAATAACCTATGTTGCATTCCTTCTATTCCTTCCTTTCTTCCTTCCTTCCATCCGTCCCTCCCATCCACTTCCACTTTATATAGAGTCAGGTTGCAAGGAGGCCCAGACCTTCCCTCTCCCCAGTCAATTGGACCATCTCCTCTGGGTTGTGTGTGTGTGTGTGTGTGTGTGTGTGTGTGTGTGTGTGTGTGTGTGTGTGTGTGTGTGTGTGTGTGTGGGGGGGGGGGGGGGGGGGGGGGGGGTAGTGTATGTACACTGCTCAAAAAAATAAAGGGAACACTCAAATAACACATCCTAGATCTGAATGAATGAAATAAATATGAAAATAATTTCCACCTGTTGTCTATTCCATTTGCACAACAGCAGGTGATATTGATTGTCAATCAGTGTTGCTTTCTAAGTGAACAGTTTGATTTCACAGAAGTTTGATTTACTTGGAGTTATATTGTGTTGTTTGAGTGTTCTCTTTATTTTTATATATATATATATATATATATATATATATATATATATATATATATATTATATATATATATATATATATATATAAAATTCCCTTCTGACCCGCGGGTGGTTCTTATCCTCTACCAGAGGCCTGGGAGCTTGAGGGTCCTGCAGTATCTTGGCTGTGCCAAGGACTGCACATTTCTGGACTGAGATGTCTGATGTTGTTCCTGGGATCTGTTGTAGCCATTGCTCCAGTTTGGGGGTTACTGCCCCAAGGGCAGTAACCCCCAGTATATATATATAGATTTTTTCCCAACCATCAATGAAAATCAAGAAGATGATGTAGAGTCTGTGGTCCTCTCACCGGCTGCGCAGTGTTCCTAGGCAGACCAGCTACCTGGATGCTGAACCTATGCAAGCTACTAAAAAAGCAACAGGAAATGATTCCTGCTAACTTCAGTGTGATGATTTGGCAATGAGTCAGGAAGGCTGACATGTTTTTCATTTGTATGATGCGTGTCCCGCTTGTCTGAACAAAGACCTTTCATTTCCTTTTTCCCTCAGTCAGAATGGAAAGCCTGGCACAGAGGTGGATCTCCAGGACTGAATACAGACAATTTTAAGTGTTAATTCGACTCATTGAGTCAAATTAACACTTAAAAATAACACTTTTGAAAGTGTTATTTGTGATACAGTTGAATCAACACTTTCAGTCATTAAAATTTAACACGTCAATGTTGATTTACTTAACACTAGTGTGTAGTGTCAAACATTAACACCATTAATATGTTCGTTTAATGCAGAACAGTGCAAAATATAGATCAACATAAAAAACAGAATTTTAAAATACTACTGGTAGGGTGTGCTGTGGTGTACAGCACACAGTAGGAGGCCTTAGTCCTTCTACTGTGTAACGTAACAGTGATAATATAATCCTGTGTGTTTGATGAAGTTGAGTTTGGTCGTCAGGTTTATTTCACTGAAACAGAAATAGCCGTTATCATGCAGAATAACATCGTTTGAATCCGTTTGCCTGGTGAAGCAACTTTATTTCATCAAGAGCAACATCACAGATTGGAAATAAGGACAAAATGGATTGTAGTGCCACCGTGTAGAACTACTCAGCACCATCATATTGTCACCTTCCTAAAATAATGGCCCGAATCTTTTTTTTTTTTTTTTGCCAAAGAATGACTTTTTTGTGCATAATTAATCTTTTGATGTTTGTTTTCACTTGGCAAGAAATGGCATAGGCTATTATGATGCAGGAGCTTTCGACGAGCAAAGCACTTTATACTTTATACACTTATGATGAAATATGTCACTCACTGGTATTTTGAAATAAAAATGTTGACTTTGGACTTGTCAGAATTACATGTACAAGAATTACAGAACACCACAGGATGAGCTGAACAGAGTTTATTTCTGATGACAGCGACTACAGCAGAGAAGATTTGTGCACACTGAATATAGTTGCTCCATCCAACACATTTTCTCGTTCGGAAAATCACAAAATTGTAGGAAGAACAGAGGCTTTAGGCTACGTTTAGAAATCCTAATCTCTTCAGTAAAATAAAGTAAATAATAATCAGTTTGAACTTAGCAAGAATCAGAAATAAAAGATGGTTTTTCTGCACGTCTGTTGAAAAAATACACAGCAGAACATAATAAGTATGACAGATGAATTCAATATCTGAAGTGAAATCTACATGACCTTTGAGTTCATCAAAAATATTGAAGCTTGCTTGTATCCAGCAACACTAATGTTTCAAAGTACCGCAGACAGTCACCTGTAAGTCTGAGAGAATCAGTGGAGGAAGGGGAAGATTAGGGTGTTGGAAAGGAAACCTTCCAACGCTGAAGCTTCCGAGACTTGTAGAAATCAATACACCATGAAAAATATTTCAAAAAGTTGTGTAGCAATTAGAAGGATTTGACTGCTAAAATATTTCTTACCTATTAATCACGGAACAGGAAATAAATTATTTCCAACATGCCACATTTGAAATAAATACTCAACTTAAAAAAAGGTCATCCTCCAAAACTGTTTATGATTATTTGAGAAGTGTCAGAAAGAGTGAAAAACAGATCGATTCTAAATAAAACTGAGATCTGATTGGTTAGTGATCTTAATCAAAAAGACCTGCTGCTGTTTGCTATTATATTTGCTGAGAGTCCAGCTCCACATATGCACAAAGGAAATAGAAATGCTGACCAACGAACAGACAGACAGACAAACAGTCCAGCGGTACTCCTCAGTTTCCTGTCACAGTACTCCACATCTGCCTTTGGTTTCAGAAAGACGCGATGTCATGAGAAAACAATGTTCCAGCATTGTCTTACTATATCTAACACTGCAGCATACACAGCATGAACACAGTGTAGTTTGACTTTCACACCTTGTTTTGTTTTGGGAATGTCTACAAAAATCTATCAGTTGAGCCCCACAGCTTTCACAAGTCATGTATATAGGCCATGTGAAGCATTGCTACAGAATCAAATAAAATAATCCATTACGTAATATTATCTAATCTCTAGAGACACTGCAGACACTTTACTCACCTCTGAATGCTGGATACTTGAAGCCGACACAAGCATGACATTTTCTTGTTGAAAAAAGACAAACTTAAAGATACTGAATAGTGTAACGTGAGGTTTCAAAAAAGACTGATGGGCCCAGCAACAGCAGTGTCTACAGATGTGCTAAGCTACATCATGCTTCCAGCTTAATTTATCTCAACGTAAGGCTGAGTGTCGCGTCATCTGAAAGCTCAGAATATCAAACTCTGGACAGACAGATGAGTCTGTCTCGTAAACACTACTTGCAATGCATTTTATTATTCTAATAAAACAAAACAGAACCAAGTAAATCATGCTACAAAGGCTACAAATTAACATTTTATGCAAAACCAACGTTAAAAAGTCTGTATTTAAAAAATTTTGTTCTTCAGAATTTTAGCATCCCAGCATTCAGGGGATTCCAATTTCCAATTGGAAATCAGAACCAAGTGTCTGTTTGTAAAAATGCTGCAAATGCTAACGGTAGTTGATGAGTTGAGAAACTCTGTGATGGACTGGCAACCCATCCAGGGTGCTCCTCACGTCTCGCCCGGTCAACGGGTGAGAGACGGTCACCAGGCCTTCACCCATGACCCCAACAGGGATAAGCGTGTTGGAAAATGGATGGATGCATGAAGTTCAGAAAGTCGCATATTTTCTCCAAATTAAATTTCTTTAGACTATGTCTAGTCTGAACAGCGTGTACACCTGTGGTTTACGACCACTTTTACCCAAAGTAAAAGTGATCGTCCTTGAACAAAAGTTAAAGGACTGAAAACAAAAGGATTCCTAACAATTACTGTTATGAACAATTTCAAAGCCACCATTAAGCTTGAGATCATTTGGAAAATAAAACTATTTGAAGCAATGCTACAGAAACAGACCAGAAAACTTGCATTTTGCATATTTGGTTTAGAACATGTTGTCTACTTCTAGTCTTGTGACTTAGGAAGAACGATTGGCTGGTGCCTGAGACCCTTCAAACATCTAAAGGCTCATTTTAAGTATGTTTAAAGACTTAACAAAGTATGACCATGTGCTTCATGATACAGAGTTTTATCAAAATCCTGTTTTGCTTTTTAAACATGGGTCATAAGTTGCTGATTATTCTGCTGCAAAAGTGCTACTGAGATCAGTGTTCTCTGGAATTAGCCGTTTCTTGGCTTTTTATTAGAAACTGCAAAATCTGATGTTTATCAAGTAAGCGTATGCACGCTCCACAAGCATTTCCAGGCTGCAGCTTCAGTGAGCAATGTAAGAGAGCGTATTTAAAACAAAGTGGTTTTCTAAGACATGTCTGTTGCTCCTTTAAGTTGCAAGAGAGTGAGAGCAGATAACAGGAAAACTGAGCCGTGTAGAGAAAGTTACTCTGTATTATCGTTTGGAGGTTTTAAGCTCTGTCTGTATGTAACAAGCTGGATCTGGAAATGCTGGAAGTTTTTTTTAATTTTCAGAATAAGGGTGATTAGAAAGTTTTGGAAAAAAAAAAGTTTTAGTAACATTTTAGTAAAATTTTATCCATTAACACAGCTAAACATTTTTTAGCTGTGTTAAAAAATGTTAAGCTGTTTAACACAGCTAAACATTTTTTAGCTGTGTGAATGGATAACATATGACATGATAAAAAAAACAAGAATAAAACAGCAACAAGGGCACCACAGCAAGACATATCAAGAACTGATTTTGGATGTGAAAGCACAGGATCCTACAGTGAGGAACAGAGGTCCTTTCTGAATGATTCTCAAGAAGAAAAACAAGAAAACAAGTCATTTGGTCAGTTATGATGTCTTCTGAAGCCTGGTCATCAGTCTGTTATAAGTTGTCAAATGGTCAAAAGGTGAGAAGTGGGTATGTAAAAACAAATGAGAGATTGTACAAGGTTTTTTTTTACCAGAGGGCTCAAGGATTTCACCAAGAACAGCCTCTTTCTAATTCCAGCAAGACTCTGGCAGAAGTCCAGTCAAGATGCATGCTTACATAAGCAATGGAATCCCACTCTGATATCAGTATGGACAAGTGATCCGTTAGAGACCACAGGTATACGAGCACTACATCACTACTCTGGTGGGAAATCCCTTTATTCTTTCTGTTCTTTTTCCTTTCTTTTCTTCCAAGTGGACAACATATAAACCAGCACATCATTGCTCCCTTTCAGGCTCTAGAAAAAACTGCATAACCGTGAGCAGAGGGAGACTCTGAGGCTCAGCTAAAACGAGTATGATTGTATGCTTATCTGTGAGGTCCAGACATTTCAAGTGCAGACAAGAGAAAGATGTCAAGCTCTTCAGTGCATCGAACAGAAGATCAGCCTGACGGGACGGTTCTCTACGCTCTGCTTTTTACAGCGTTTTTGATGCAGGAACAACTGTTGTCATGACAGCAAATGGCCTGCTAGCTGGTGGGACTACACATCACAAGGCAGGAGATATTTATTGTACAGTACATTCTCCAAGCTGATTGGTGCGTCTTGCCTTGTGCACAAAACTGCATTGGTGTGCAGTTCTGTTACGATGAAGGCGGATGTTGGCCTTTTTGGTGTTGAACTTTGACCTCATAATTGACTGACTGTGTCCACCAACATAACACAGATAGTTGATCATAGAGATTATTTTAAAGTTTTCTGTGATGAGAGCTTACTCTTAACTTGCAGATGACAACTGAGAGAACCAACAGAGGAGCTTGCTAGATGGTCCGTACATTTTCACAATTCCTTTGGACATTAGCGCTCAGAGCTTTTGTTTTATGTGCCTATGTTCATACATTAACACAAGGAAAAAAATGATGTTTTTGCATAATGCTTTGTCTGTTTCCCCCATCTAGCCTATTAAGTTCAGCTAATATCAGCAGCTGGAAACAGCTCCAGTTTCCGTAGACATTTTGATGGGAATGAGAAAGGTTTACATTACACAGGGTCCACAAACACCTGAGGCTCTTCAATCCCTCGTGCAAACAACTTGATTAACCGGCAGTGCACTCTGACGAATAAAGAAAAAGAAAACAAACACAGGAGGGAGTTTTTATAATTATGCATTCTGAGTATTTAAGACATTCGGTTGGGAGAGCAGCTGTACCTGACATCGATGTCTGTGTGGGTCAGGACCTCACCATCGCAGTTCCAGGTGCTATTAGTGCGTGTGCATCCACAAGCAGGGTGATCTCTGCAAATGTGGCTGAAGATCTGCCTTTTGCCGTTCTCAAGCAGGTCCAGTTCCAGATCTGAGTCGCTCTGGCAGTAGCGTGGGGTGAAGCGGAAACCCACCACCCGGTGGACCTCTACAAAGCCCAGGTCGAACTGAAAGAGGGCGAGAGAAGAAGAACAGCTCGGTGTTGATGATTCAGAAAGATAGAGGAAAAAAACTAAATACTGAATTTATTGTTGACATGCACCTGGTCATCTTTGTTGGTGTGTCGCAGGAGGTGTCTGAGGAAATTGAAGCGCGAACATTTTCTGACAAGGATGAGGTCAGTGGTACCATCAGCCAAGTGAGCAGCAGGGGAGAGTCCTTTGGGGCTGCGAGGACAGGCACAGCTCATACTGGCAGCGTTTATAGCCAAGAACTTTCCTCGGATCGTCTTCCACTCTCCGTCATCCGCTGAAACACAAACCCCCAAACAGGCATGTGACCCACTGAAACAACGTTCCCAGTGTTCACAGAATGTTCTCTATGTTTCACTGTTTGATAATACCACTAGGTAAGGTGGGATAAGGTAAGGTGAGGCAATTTTATTTATGTAGCACATTTTCAGCAACAAGACAATTCAAAGTGCTTTACATGAATTACTAGGAAATACAAACAAAATAACAAATCAAAAGAAAGAGCAAAAGAAGATAAACCAGATACTCATATTCAGGGTTGGTAGATAAGTATAAGTAAGTATCCTCTAGTCTAATTCCTTTTCAGGGTTGGAAGAATAGGACTCTAAAAAGTAGTCACTAAGGTAGTTTTTCGGGATTCTAAGTTTGTTCCAATCGCTGTTCTGGATTGCTAAGTAAGTGTAAGTAAGTAATCTTTGGACTTTCTAAGTATACTCTAAATTTGTAAAAGTAATGAGTACTCCACAGTTTCTAAGTAATGATAAAAGTGTTCCTGTTCTGAAAGAATTTCTTTGGATTTTAAGTTCGTTCCAATTTCTTCTCTGGGTTGCAATAATGAACTACAAAATTATAATAAAGCAATCAGAAAAATGTAAATGTTGCACACTCATGTTTTTATATTGGACTTGGTAAGTAGATGATGCCTATCGAAATGTGACTGGACTGACTCAGGGTTGATTGTTGACTCCTAGTGGCCGTCTGCAGGACTTACCGCATTCTGAGTCTTGATTCGTCTTATACCTCTCAGCTCTCTCTGACTGTATCTGTCCATTGTGCTGACAAACTGCACAACTGCAGAGTTAAAGACACAAAAACTGGATTAATTCACTGCATTACACATTCAAATCCCCTGAGCTAATTGAATGCAACCTCTTCACTGATGATCCAGAACTGTTCATCAGTTTCATTGGTGCTCGGTAATCTTTTTTTTTTTTAGCTTAATCCCAACATTTGGAAATCTATCAGGTCCAATAGCCCACAGAGACTTTTCAAGCTTATAGATGCTCAGATTCTTATTCAATATGAATCTCTTGAACTATGATCTGATCAGGCAAACCTGTTAATCTAATCTGAATTAAAGGCTGTACACAGTTCACCTCTAACAGGTTTACATATGTGGCCCAAAGTAAGATGCTATTTTTTTTTTAAATGTAATTATTTCAAATTCAATTATCTTTTTTTAAACAGAAGTAATGATAAAAGTGCTAAAAATAGAACCACGGCACAAGATCAAAAGTTTTGTTAATGGTCGCTCTTAATGATAAAACTATCTATGCGTTCATGTGGCTTATTGGGTACATAATTTATTTATTAGAAAGTAACAAGTATATACATTTACAGTGTTCATAAAAATGTTTGCACTCTAGTTACTAAACTGGAAAATGTGGGAGTGTTTCAGTCTGGACATTTCTGAAACTGACAAGGATGAGGTCAGTGGTACATGACCTCATCCTATGCTATAGATTTGCTATAGATTTGCTATAGATTTGTTTCTATTCAACAGTGGGTATTGAAGTGACCACTGACATTTGCATAGATCTTTAAACATGGCGGAGAAGAATTGTATTCATACAACAAATTCCAGCTGCTGCTGTTACGGCAGCAGCTTCCACAGAGTTCAGTGAAATACCAGAGTTACGATTCTGATGGTGATGATTGTGATTGCTTTGATGAACTGGACTTTTGAGACCCAAGAGTAGAAACTTTGAAGTCTCTGATTTCAGTGTCTTTTATAGGAGCTTCCAACAGAGTGATTTGTAATTGAGCATAGATATATATATATATATATATATAGGTATTTATTGGCGAGAAAAATTGTTTGCCGTGACACTCGCATCTTTACTGTACGTATTGCAGCACACACAGTCCTTCATTCTCACAAACTGTAGTCTGTTTGGTCAGGGAGTCATTGATCCAGGCTCAAGCAACATCACTCAAAGGCGTCTTTATTCACTGTGAGTGAAATTGCTCAGCTAAGGAAAAGGAAAATACTTATTTACAAATCTTTATTTGTGTGTATTAAAAAAAACATCTTTCAGATTACTCATCATCAAAAGCTTACTAAAAACCACTTAATTTTTATTAGCTTGTCTGGTCCTAATATCAACAGCGTTTGTTTCTCTCTATTGTGGTGATTTTAATTGTAGCCTAGATTCTTACCATGACAGAGCAGCAGGCGGTGACTCTTCTTGTCTCAAAAGCAGACAGTTTACAAAAATTCATGTCTGAACACAGATGCCCAACAATGAGTAATGTCAATCCAATAGTAATTATAGTCACCATAGTTGGTTCTAGAGGTTACTTCCTCATTTCAAACTCACTTGTCTACAGAATTAATAGTTGTACACACAAAAGTATTTTTATTCCTGAAATATTCTGAAGTACTTCATTTGTCATACCTGAAAAGGTAATTTCAGGTATAAAAATACTTTTGTGAGTACTACAGGGCAGGACCAAGGGACATCACTGAAAACAATTTTAACCATCCAGAGCTGTTTCAAAACTACATTCATACCGTAAACACAACTATAAGTATTTCTGTTTTATAATTCTCTCACCCATATCGACATCTGCCTGCATCTCGTGGAGTTCCAATGATGCCTCTGGCAGGCAGGTAGGACACCGTTCCCTCATAGTAATGATGAGTCAGGAACATTTTCACCCCTGCACCATCCAGAAGAGCAAGTCAAAACGAGAGAAAGAACAAACGCAGAACACCGTTTTGTGTTCAAACACGCTCCTACCTGAGATGTCGTATCTGGCCGGGCCCATCCATCTTTTCCTCTCGCTGTCAGTTAGCATGTCGCCATAGAAACCATATCCCAGCAGAGAGACGGAGTATCGCAGGAACATGTTGTGGTGGTGAACTGAACAGACATCCATTGGCTGAGAGTCTCCTGAACACACACATCAAGATTCAATTCAGTTGAAGCTGTGGTACAACATACATATACGGCAAACATACAGTACCTCACATTATTTACTGCAGGTTGAAAATGTTTACACGTGTCAAAGAAGAAACTGTTATGTGAAAGGCAGTCACAAAAAAGTGCAAAACTGTGAGGTGTAATGATGATTTATTTGGATAAATTAACAAGTTGTCTGTATCTTGCAGTTTAATTTTATGCCATAACAACACTGTGCTATGCTGAAGCAGCTGGATTACTTCAACCTCCACACAAACATGGAGGCCTGAGGAAAGATAGATGGTTGCATGGAGGGCTTTCATGTTGGCATTGGCAGGAAGGCCAAGCTATGCCCGGCTCACCCTTTATGCCGACCCACACCCGGCTGGTACTAACCTAGGTCACTATCCAAACCCAGGTTTTAATAAAACTGGGCATTATGGAAATTCAAGGCTTTACAAAAATTTGTGATATAAAACCAGACACAAGCCTCGACACAAATAAAATTCCTGACTCCAAAATCACTGGAGCGGCACGCAGTGGTACAAGCCGCATTAACGGTAGTAGGAAGCGGCAGTTATTTTGAGGTGTAAAACAATAGGTGCCTGCCATAGCATTGTATGGGAGGCAATGCTAGCCAATAAATAAAGAACTTTGATTTTAGTCGCAATCATGATGGAGTACCAGGGGATTGGTTGGCTTGTTTAGAAGGAGACTTTGGGACTCACCCACAATGATGTGGAGTGCAGAGGTGACTGGGTCATTGGTTCCAACTGTGGCAAAGCAGATACAGTCTGTTGAACCTGAAACCAACAAAACAGTAATGAGACAGCAGCTACCAAACAACAGAGCAGAAAGCTCTACTGAGACTGAGGTGATGGTCACGTGCACTGTTCAGACAGTCATCACTGAGTATAAATGGCACAAAAGCTGAATAATATGGACGTGAGAGAAGAGCATGTGCAGTCAACTTACATTCATCTAGAAGTGAATGTAAGTTGAATGTGAAGTCAAATTGTCTCTAATGGTGCATTGACACCAAACGCATTTTGAGCATCAGACGCATCTGGTTTATATTTAAAGTCTATGTGGAGGCGTGTCGCAGGCCCATTGCGTTGCATTTCGAGGGTCTACCGCGGCATGAGTTGAACCGTTTGGTATGTTTCAAGCGCTTGACGCATTGAACCCATCCAACGTTCCACATAAACTGGCAAAACTCATGCTCAAAAAATGGTGTGTATCGCGTTTGGTGTGAACGCCCCATAAAACAAGCACATCCAGCCAGTTCTACAGTCCATCCATTGGCTCCCTGTATCTCAGAGAATACACTTTAAAATACTTCTGTTAGTTTATAAATCACTGAATGGTTTAACACCACAATATATTAAAGATCTGCTGTTATATCAACCTTCCAGACCTCTTAGATCTTCTGGTTCTGGCTCTTCTCTGCATCCCCACAACCAGAACCAAACATGGAGAAGCGGCATTCAGCTTCTATTCACCACATATCTGAAACCAACTTCCTGAAAACTGCAAAACAGCCGAAACACTGAGTTTCTTTAAATCTAGAGTAAATCCCCCCTCTGCTTAGTGTTGCCTTTGTACCTTTATAAATTAAACACTAACCAACGTTTTGACGGCATCCGGAAAAATGCAATGTTGCAATTGCTGATTTTTTATGTTTTCACAATGTGAAGCATTTTGGACTGCTTTGTTGCTGAAACAAACTTAAAATTATCAATCAGATAAAATTGATTGATAGTTATAAGGAGAAATCAGAGTCGATAACTAAGGCATCTCACTAAACGTGTGTTTCTCATCCCAATTGTATCAAATGTTAATAGATATTTCCAATGAAGCTCAGTTACAGAGTAAAGGAAAACTTTACCTGCAGGGATGATTCCAATGCGAAGTGAGCAGGGAGAAAGGTCTTCATCAGGACAATTTGGATCTACACCATTGTCGATTTGTGTCCTCCACACCAGACCATGCATGATCTCACTGAACATGCCATCTCCTCCCACACACACCACACTGAGATTTGGAAAAGGGAGATAGTGGTAAAAAAATTTTTAAAAAAAATTTAAAAAAAAATTAAAAAAAAATTTAACTGTTGTGTAAGGCTTATTTGACTATTAATAACTATAAATGACAGTTTAAGGCAATTAATGCTTAAAATAAAAATTTAGATCAATATGAAAAAGTTCGGGAACTGCCTGATCTTGAAGAAAATAACAGCCAAACAGTTGAGTAGCAAATACTGACTAGAAATACTTACCTGATAAGACTTAGGTAGATAAGATGAAGGCATAAGTTCAGAATTGGTGGTCTTTGTACAGCAAGGAACCACACATGTATGAAATAAATACAAACAACTTCCCTCTGATATACAAGAGTTTAATAACAAAAATAAATCAACCTTACAGTTAAATACTTGAATCAACAAACTCACCAAGTTTGTAATACTCGACTAAACTACTGATAAAATAAAAAGAGTGCTAAAACTAACAAACTGCTAAAAGTAAAAACAGTAAAAAATTTATGATAGAAATAAATGATGCACTGATTTCAGTTTGATGAAATTAGTGCATCTCTTAGTTGGGATGACCCAACCTTGAATGTAGAGGAGTTTCATCCTTATCTTCCTGCAGGGTGGAAACACAATGAGGCTCATATGAATCTGGCTACAGCTGGAAGAGTGTTGTGAGTTATATCATTCTCACATAGGGAATATGTACGTTGCCTTTAGCAATGCCCCTCACTGAATATCAAAATATGTGTTTTAAGTGTATTATTTCGATACATGCGTAGAACAAGCTGTTCATATCAACCTCTCCCACAAGCCACCATAAATATGTTGTGTTATAATAAGTCTGATTTGGCTATTAATAACTATAAATAATAAGAAAGGGTAATTTTTCATTAATCTAGTAATTTAGATCAAGTTGGGAAACCACCTGATCAACAGGAAATAATAATGGTGCTTTGTTGGATCAATAGCAGCCCCCCTGCAGTTTCAGAACCGCCAACTCACCCATCAACCTTGCTGAGCTCAGCGTCCGTCTTCAGATGATCCATTGCATGATTGGCATGGTCAGTGACTATAGCAACATACAGAGAAACATACTCAAACAGAAGGTCATCATGAACTGATGTTAGTCTTAGCTACTGGGTGCAGGACCTACCAATGACATGTGTAGAGATCCCAGCTTGAGCAAACAGTGGCGCCACCTTCTGCTCATAGATGCGTTTGCCTTGACGCTTCCCACCATATGGGTTGATGTAGACCAGCAAATTTCTGGGTCTGGTGGCTGTAACAAGCAACAATTCTTTGTCACAACTGTTTTCCAGTTTCTGTGCGTGTATATTTGTGTGTGTGTGTGTGTGTGTGTGTGTGTGTGTGTGTGTGTGTGTGTGTGTGTGTGTGTGTGTGTGTGTGTGTGTGTGTGTAGGTGCTAAGTCGTACAGATGCTGGCCAGCTGCTCTCTGATACTCCTGACCCAGTTCTGGCAGAGTACCTCGTCTGGACATGTGAAGGTAACTTCAGCACAGCGCCAGTGGTGCTGACGAGATCTCTTCACGTACAACACTGAAATAGAGCAGAAGCCCCAAGTCCATTTTAGTTGTTGATTTTTGGCAAGTTTTTTTTTTGTTTGCTTTTTACTTACAAAAAACAAACAAAAGCATTTGTTTACAACACTTATTATATAATGAGATCATTATAAAATACCATATAATTATATATATATCATTATATAAATATTATATTTAATAATATGATAATCACCATTTTGTGTAAGTTGCACTACATATCACTCAATCAAGTTTATTTGTATAGCACATGTAGAGAGTGAAAAGGAATGGGGAGGGTACAGTTTCCTGTGTTGCTGACCTCCTGGTTAGACACTCAGTTCTTCAGTATCACAAAATCCCACAGAGCTGCTCTGATAGGACTTCAGCACTCTGGGGCTGACACCATCTGGACCTAAAGCCTTGTACCGGTTCAGTCTTTCCACTTGCCCCTTCACCTGACTTCTAGATACAGACATGTGGGAGAGGGAGGCAAAGGAAGCAGCAGCATCTCCCGAGCTTGTTTAGGGCAAGCTTGTGGAAGGGGAAAAGTCCATGTCTGAGGTAGAAGATAAAACAACTGAGGTTTAACCAGACAGGTGTGGGTCAAAGGAGGGTGGGATGTCTGTTTGGGTGGGTTCAGATGAGGAGGAAGATGAGCTTCCTGAGTTAAATACAATGTATCCAGCTCATTTGCTCTGTCCAGACTTCCGTCTATCTATGTGTCATGAGGTGGTAAAAATTTCAAAACCACAAGCCTCACAAAAAAACTAATTCAAGTCATGTCTCAAAACAAAATACATCAAACAAAAGGAAACACCCTGAAACCAAAATCTCCTCAAGCAGAGGAAATCCAACAAAATGCTAAGTTGACATCGTCAAAGGGTGTTTCCCTCTCACAAGTATGTTAAACAAGTTCCCGCTGAAACATTTAAACAAAAGACAGAAGAAAATAACGCCTAACATATAACATATAGCTAAACATAACCAAACACAAACTAGATTCAAGTGACAAGCCCCCACTTTGTTACGAGCTGTAACACAAGACAGGAAGACATGGACTTCAAAAATAAATAAGCACTTTATCAAGTAAAAAATAATAAATATAAACCAAGCAAATGGGCAAGCATCCCCATGAACTGTGCAGGGACTGCTTCAAGGACTTGAGCCCGGGTGTGACCAGTCACAAGCTGCCCAAGGGTCAACCTGAGAGGAGCAACAGCTGGATCATGGAAGAGCCACCGAATGAAAAACAAAAAGTGCTCATGTTGGAGCATAACTGCTTTTACAACCAGAGCATACTGGGTCCTAGTGGGTTTGGACTGTTGTACTTCTCGGGCCTCAGAAAACCCCCCGCAAAATAACGGATGATCCCTCCATTCAAAGGGGAGGAGATGCTACAACACTGTAAAAAAAAATAGAAGGGACAAAAAAAAAAGTTTTCTGAACTCCAAACTGAAGTCTTTACTATAATGCCGGCTCACACAATGACTTACCCTCAATAACTTTCCAGCAAAGATCTGCCTCATGATGGGTCAGTTTACCAGTGAAGGTCAGATTACCTGTGAAGGCCTGCCTGCCATCCGATCCATCTCCACCTTTGATCTTCTTCCAGCTGCTGTCATCTTTTTGATCACTGCCATTCATTCGTTGTTCCTCTCTGACTGAGATGATCTCTGACACGGGCACAATGCGATTCACGCCTGCAAACAGCACACAAACAGCACACAAACAGCACACAAACATACAAGGTTTCAAAATCAATACATGATAAAGTCGAGCTAAATATCTTCATCAAGTAAAAAACATCTTTTAGGTTTTACTAAAATGTTTGTTACATGTGTCCATGTGAGGACGTTTGAAGGAGGCAAAGACACTTTTACAATTAGCTGCTGTCCATGCTGAGCAGGATTTGTAAAGTGAGGGTCCAAAACCTTGTAAGGTGCAAAATAGGAAGTCACATCCGCAAACTGTCGCTAGGAAACCTCTCCCTCCCTGCCCCATCACATCACATCTGTGTTTCCATCCACCAATCAGAAGAGGTTTTTCTTTGAAGATCCATCCATTTGGGTATGAAATTCTCTCTCTTGCTCCATTGGCCAAACGTGAATGACAGCCTCATGTAAACAGAGGGATTATTCGCTGGTAAACGCAGTAGATGCGCGTGCAGCTTGACTGGAGAAGGAGCCGGGCTGACTTCAAACGCTCACTGGTTGCCATGGTTACCTTCATTCATCTCACTGCTTTCACGTTGGTTAGCATGTTGTCAGCATACGACTGACAACAGTGTGACAAAATCATTTATGCTACCAAACTGACATTATTATGACCCAAAAGCAAGAAATGCAAGTGAGCCGAGAGTGCAAAAAAAATTATATATATAATGTCGGTAATGTGTGTCGTCTTGACGTTTAATGAACGTTGCGTGCAAACGTTTAGTGATAAAGTGTTTGCTACACTTCGGACGTTTAAAGGAAGTTCATGACAACGTTCATTGGTTGGACGTTTCCACGTCTATCATATTTAGGGGCAAAACAGCAGCTAAAATATTCAAACTTGGAGTTTCTTGGGTTTCGTATGTGTTGGTGTTGGTGTGTATCGTTGCCGTTTGGCTGCCTCTGAGTCCCTCAGCACTTTGCGACAGGCTGGATAACAGACCGCTGCGTTATGCAAGCGGATATTCTGTTTAGTTCCAAATAACTCTGTGCGTCCCAACGAATCCCCTCTGTTAGGCAAACAGAACAGCAGAGATTAGCGTACAGACTAGAAAACATGCTACAGGCTCTTACTGGATCTGAATGGGCGGTACACCGGACTGGAGGCCCGTCTTTTCCATGTCAGCAGTGACCGGCTCAGGCTCACATCGTACGCCACGGTCCTGACGCAGAGTTCGGAGAGCAGAAGCAGCCTGCCGGGCCTATCCATGGGAGTCTAGCTCGTTCCTTCAGCCGGCTGAAGAAGCAGCAGCAGTCCCTTCCCGATCACGTCCTCCCGATCATTTTGTCTTTTTCGTCTTTCAGACACGGTTGAAATCTCGAAGATATGCTGCTTTTTCAGGAGCAGCTACCTGGTTCCGAGAGGCGCATTCCTGCTTCGGTTGTTGTTCTTTTTCTTTCTTCTACTGATAGATAGCGGTTTTCCACCGGATGTGGGAGGAGCTTGGGGTTGCGTTCAAGTGCTCCAAAAATTGTAACCCATCAGACTGTTGTTCACGACACTAAAAAAATATGAGGTTGGTTAGCTGAAAAATGTCCTTGGATCCTGGACAGTGGACAAATTTTTTTTATTTTGACTAGAAGAAAATTACTTAATATTTATCATTTAAAGACTGATATTGGTGCCATATTAATGAGTGGAAGAAAACAACTTTTATCTTTCTCTTTCAGAAATGAAGCTACATCTTTTTGCCTATTTAGCTTTTTTTTATACTCATGTTTTAAACTTTATAAAATCAAATCAATATATAAAAGCATTCTAAGCATCCTGACGTGTTTAGACACCTAAGGATGTTAATAGCTGGCTAGATCTGTAGTACTTTCATGTCCATAGTAGTTAGACTACTGATTCCACTTTTCACAACATATCAGAAAGTATTTAGTCAGCTGTATAAATTGTCATTGATCAATAAAGGTGGTCTTTTGATGAGTATTCAAGCTTCCCAGTATCTAAGCACTTCGTTGTCACCCACTACTTGCCGGTTCCTTTCATCTACTTGAGTAGTTCCTCATTCCACCCTGTGTTCTCATATCTCCTTCTCCTTCTCATATCTCCTCCTTCTTCTATTCTACAATTGCACCACACTGGAGTAATCTGGAGTTATCTGTACAGATAACTTTCGGAATAGCACCAATAGCTATCGAAATGCGATACAGTAAGAAAATCTGATGAGGTAACAAAGCTTATCAGAACACAGTAACAACGTATCAATTCATATTAGGCTGATACGTTGGATGATCCAATGTGAGAACAATTACTGGACCTCAAAAATTACACGTAGCTCCCCAGCTAAATTTACTGCTGTTTTGACATGCTTATGACAAAATATATCAGTTTGATGACATATTGCCAGTTTCCCCATCTCCAAAACGAGTGCAAGTATGGGTCAGTTTGCATGAGGAATCTCACATTCTTCTTCTTCCATTATTTATTATTATTATTATTTCATAGCTCACATTTTGCTTTGAAACTATTGCGATTAGATGCAGCTGTCAAATCTAAGACCACAGAGACGCAGACCATTTCAGGATTTTATTCTGACAAAAACAAATCAGAGATCATCTGTAATTGTTTGAGACCCAGACACTTCAGAAACTTGTACTCCTTCGTGCATCGAGTTATATCCAGACATTACCCAGAGAATATGGTGATGAACCAGCTTGCTCCCAAGGGAATGACTGCATACTCAGATGTAGTCTCTTGAAAACTAAATCCAAATTCTAAATCTAAACTAAGTCGAACTAAAACTAAATTCTCCTCTCAAAAGACTTTGAACATTTGTTTCTGCTTAAACTTTCAATTTTATTTAAAGCACATATGTTTAAAAAAGCTCAAATTGTATTAATATCATTTTAGTACATTTAAATGGTCATTTCCATTTACTAAAATAAAATCCTGAACAAGAAATGATTTTCTAGTTTATCCTGTTTCAATATAGCAAAAGAGATACAATAATTTACCACAGAACGGCAAACTACAGGAATGATGGATGGAAATCAGGCGGATGGAGGATCAGATGGAAGTATGTCAGGAAACATGTTCTCTAGTTTACTGCTCATACAGCTTTTTTATGGCTCTTAGCAGTATGAAGAGGGGAATAACTGCTGCAATATGACCACAAAGCTGTCCACATGATGAAGTCAGCAATCAGCACTCATTTTACACCAACTTCCTATCGTGCCGTATTGTCATCACAACTAAACTTGTGTATGAGACGAGTCCCTCCTCCCGAAACATAATAGAACAATCTGCCAAATCCTCAGAGTTATTGTCCAGCTGATTTCAAACAGAAGCAATGGAATCATGTAAAAAAACCTTCTCAGACTTTGGGACATTACAAACACAAAGACAGCAGATTAAGAAGAGTTGCTTTAGGCAGGTGGAGTGTCCTCTGTCAATCGTCCGGTTCAGCCACACACTGTTCCACAATTTCTCTGAGGTTGGGGTTTTCCATGGCAGCTGCTATCCGCTCCTTATCATTGATCTGTTTGTTAACTGCAGACATGAACAGAAGGTTCTCACTCAGTTAATGAGCAACGGCAAGATTAAAAGAACAGCAGCCTTTAATTTATCAAAAAAATCTGCGACAAAAACACTATTTGCTTCGTCAGAGGCTACTACTGTTTTAATTCTTACTAAAATGCTTGAGATTATTTCAATACCAGAAAATGAAAAGAATAAATATAAAGTGAAGTTTTTCCAAGTGATGATTTCATTTATGGGACGCACCATGTAGCATCCCATAAATATCCGCATGAAGTTGAAAGTTCTCCCTATAAATATTTGGGTTCACTCAGAGTAGCTGCTCTCCCTCCCACAGTCCACAAACAGAACTTTTAATTATTTTTGACAGGACTGTGCATAAAAAATAATGTCCAATAAAATTTTGACTTACAGCAACTTTGTTGTGATAAATGTTGAATATTTTTTTCAGATCAAGGAATGTGTTTAAAAAAATAGAACTGCTCGATGTGGAGGCATCAAATAAATGAATCAATCAGATTATTCAAGAATCATTATCGTTGTTAATTATTACTGCTGAAGAATTATTCTGGAATCAACCAAGATAAGGGACTTCCTGTTGCAAGGAACAGACTGGCAGGAAACATGACCCAACTAATCAACCAATGTTCCTGTTATCAGGTAAATGGAAGAGAAGATTCCTGTGGAAGACTCTCAATGGCCGGATGGAAGTGGAATTCATTAATGAATACTGAATCTGCATTTTCCAAGGAAATAAGGCTTTAACATTTATTTGATGCCATTCACTTGAAATAAAGATGGCCACCAAATTTAGAGTAGCACCACTTGAGTGACAATATCAGGCTTATTTAATTCAATTGAGCAAATATGCAACACATCATCTCAAGGCACTTTACAAAAAATCTATTTCAATCAAAAAGTGCAGTCAAGCTCAGTTTATTATTCATATGAGTGTAAAAGGTTTTTCTATCAAAAGAAACCCAATTGACTGACTTGCAGTCAATCGCTTTCATTGTCGCTGACTTTGCAGCAATGCATCAGACAGAGCATGCATGTAGCAATGGCAAAGAGGAAACTCCCCTTTAACAGGATCGGCCATCTGCCCTAACCAACTGCGAGTTTTGGAACACACACACATATACACACACAAAATGAAGAAACAGAAACATTGATCTAGAAGTATGTCCTGTATTAAAGAAAAGTAAAATGTTAGCAGGAAAAGAGTATTCAGTTGTTGGTAGCAGTGTCTCAGCCGATGGTCCCCTCAGACAAGATGTCACAGCTAAACACAATGCCAGCCCAGTTAGAGCTTTATGGAAAGAATGAAAGACTGAGAGAAAATGTAAAAAGTTTGAAATAAGAGCAAATCACACAAACTGGAGAGAATGTGGCCAAGTGGTCTGAGAAGTGGTCAATTTGTCCAAGTAGTTTAATCCAAGTGAAAACTTAAGATGGAAGTTGAAAATAAAAATGTAATTAAATCAAATGACAAGCAAGCTTAAACGTCAGCTGCTGTACAAGAATGATGCAAAGTGAATGTTTAAGAATCCTGTGTTTTGCATTGAGCACAAAAAGAAAAAACTTATTATTTATATTATGATCTATTTAAACCTTAAATACTTATATATGTGAGAAAATAGTGTTGTGCAAGTTCATGAAATAAAAACTTACTGTCTTCTTCAGTAGAATGGGTTCCTTCTGAAATATAAATTTCCAACTAAAGAGAAAAAGAAGGAAAAAAATACAAATGATCAAATAACTTATGTTTGTTAACATCAAGACCAAAGATGACTGATATGGAGTTAAAGTGGTTTAGGATTGCAAATAACATGAGAAAAGATTTTAGAGACATAAAATCTCTAAAATTCACACAAAGAAAATTCACAAACAACAAAGAGTTTTAATAAATTTAAAGCATACCAATATAACTTCTGCTCCGAAGACAAGAGAAACATGAAATCTGCCCTTTGGGTCAGGGCTGTTCACTCACCTTATGCTTAAATGGCAGACACCGCTGCAACTTCACTTGTATGCACAGGCCTGCAGACAACACATCTTTATCAGACACAGATACTAACAGATCTACTGCTACAACCCAGGAAACAAAAATATGCTCTGCAGTAGACCAGTGTTCTAAAGATTTTCCATCTGATGACCATCTAAAGTGGATATACATGGCTTTTAAATCTCTCCTTGCATGTAAATCATTGTGGAACTGCAGTGGAACTGCAATCCTTTGGTCTGAATTCCTCGCCACTGGAACTCAGACCAATAACAAGTAATAATTACAATCAGAGTAATAATTACAAATATTTTAGTACTTAGTATATTAATACTTCTCAATTTACTGACAGAATTTACTTCCCAAACCCAAAATATGATCAGTTCTCCATCCACCATTGTTTTCAGGTGGGTTTAGAGGAGACTTTTGACATCAGCAGACTTCCTCACCAATCAGAGTAGCCAGGGAGCAGTGAGGAACGGTTGGGGAGAATCTGATTATGATGAGGAACTCATCCTCCTTGAGCTCCTGAATCTCCACACATTTCTCTGTCACCACCTCCAGCTCCTCCAGGGTGTTCGGCTTCTCTGGGTCCCGGATGGATCGAATCACATCTGAGGGAGGGAAGGAAATACGTTTCCATAAGACTCTTGAAATCTCTTAATGTCTACAACGACAAAATACAATGCTGTAAAAATGACATACTTAGCAAATTTTTGTTGTTTCGTATGCTTTTTTTTTTTTTTTTGCCATTTCGTCACAGTTGACTTTCGGGGTACTTTGACTACCCAAAATGGGACATTCTGCTTTTTTTTTATTATTGTTATTATTATTATTTTTCCCAGTATCTCAGTCATCTTAAAGGTTAATTTTGTAAAACTTGGCCAGAACTATTTTAAATTTTCTTTGTGCCTTTGATTGTAAGTTATGTAGAACAAAATGCATGCACTTTGTGTGCATTTAATATTCTGGATCAACTGACTCCCACAATAACCAGGTATTTTTAATGGACAGTTAACCTGGCATTTTAAAATAACTTTCTTATGGAGATCAAAATTTAGACTGACCAAGATGCAAAAAGTGATTAAATCAACCTTTATTGAAGTTTCACAAATGAGAAAAAGGTTTCACAAATCCCAAACATGGTTTTAAATATTCTGCTATTAGAGCAGAATAATCCAGTCCAAATTTGAAGTGTCTAGATGTTGCATTTAAAAAAAAAAAAAAAAAAAGTAAAGTAGATTAAAGATGCGGTTAATGGTGAACATTTAGGTGGAATCGCCATTGTGCCATTTCCTGAATCGGAAGCTGGAATCGGAAACCAACTTCAGCTTCGTACATAGCAGCAAATAACTTTTTCACTTTACAATTTAGCCTGCAATGAACATAGAATGTTCTGCACCAGTTCTGAAGTGTCCAGCTGTTCTGGTTTAGGGACTGAAGCGGTTCTAATGTGGCACAGATCAATAAAAATGACGAAATAGCCACTAAGGAAACTTCACAATTCACAAACTTGGTCTTATTCTGCTTTAGTGCAAAATAATCTAGTTCAGGTTTGAAGAGTCCATGCGTTGTGTTTTTTTAAGGTTAAATAGGCTGAAGGTACTGAAAAAATAGGCGGAATTGCCTTTAAGCCATAAGTTTCTGAATCAGAAGTCAATTTCAGCTTCGTAGTCGCAAAGGAGCAGGAAATAAACTGAAGAGCTTTTTCCATGTCTCATCTTTCCAGCTCAACTAGCAGGACTCAGTCTGACGTTAGAAACGCCAAACAGACCTTAACTCACCGTACACGTCTAAAGCTTTTTCCTCCATCGGGTTGCTGTTCATGCCATTTCTGTTGAGTACGGACAGTCGGTAAATCTTTTCGAGAACTGGTAATAAAAGGCTGGACACTATTTCCATACTTTGACAAGCGCCATAATAAACGATAACATCTCAAAAGAGACCAACTTCTTCTTTTGTCCAATGGCGGTTGGCAAACAACCTAATGGAGCATTACTGCCACCAACTGGCCAACTCTTTCCAACTGGAAACAGTTGGAAACTATCTATCTATCTATCTATCTATCTATCTATCTATCTATCTATCTATCTATCTATCTATCTATCTATCTATCTATCTATCTATCTATCTATCTATCTATCTATCTGTCTGTCTGTCTGTCTGTCTGTCTGTCTGACCACACTTCATACCCATAGGTGGCGGTGATGCATCTTAAGTTGTTTGCCAACTGCCAATAAAATTCAAGAAGAAGAAGAAGATATTTTGGTCAGCTGACAGTGGAAGTAAGGTGACTCGTTGTTGACAAGTGAAGGAAATGGTTGAATCTTTCCCATTTTGTTATTCAGATATATTTATCAAGACAATTTAAAGCGGTCAATCGCTATTCTGAAACCGAGAGGAGATGTTTGATGGGCAGAACTCCATAGAGGTGCTGGTTATTCCTGAGGACCAGCACTGTGGTCAGCTTGCAGACATCCAGAAAGCCGAGCTGTGCCCTGCGGGCTCCCTCCTCTGTTGTCTTGGCGTCTCGGGCCAGCTGTTGGTGTGGGTCCCTGGGGACAGAGAGGCCCCTCCGGCTGCATCGGACGGCTGCTTTGCAGAGTGAGTTCTGACTGGTCTTCACTTCCCGTGTTTCTAAAGCAAGATTTGTAATGTATTAACTTTTGACTAAATGTAAATACTATATGTGACCTGGACAGGGTCTGTCACTGCTGGGTTGATATGTCTCTTATTTTAGTTTTGTTAAAAGTCAACTACTGAAGTCTCTTCTTTTAAGGGATGTAGTATGTATTAAAATCATATCCAAATGAAATGCTTCATGGAATTGCAGATAGTAATGCTTATTCTGCGGATTAAAATAATAATATTTTCTCTATTCATAGTTTCTGCTGGGAGGAGGCGAATACAAGCATTGTGGGAGTCAGCAGCTTTAATTTGTTGGCTGTTGGATCACAGGGTGACTTAACGCTATTCCAGGCTGAGGCAGAACCATCCACCCCAGTTTCTTTACTGACTGTGCAAAAGTGTAATGTAGATAATCTGCTGGAAATTGTCAAAGAGAGCGACAAAAGTGAGTAATCAGTTGTCCTTACATTTATCACCTGCTGAATTTTGTTTTGAAAGTCTTAATGGTACAGAAGATTGTCTGGGGTTTTTCAACTCTTTAAGGGTCATTTTGATGAGCTGAATCCGAAACTCATACTGGTTTTGCTCAATCGGGTCAACTTTCTGACCTATGGAGCAACATGAGCATCAAATGCATGACTTGTTCGCTCATCTGGATCGGTTTGCTGAGAATCTGATCAATGAGTGATGAGCAGGAGGAGAGATTCCATCAGGACAGAAAAGAGACGGAGAATTTTACACAATGAAGACGTAATGTTCAATTTACATGTACTTACCATTAGTGGTGTTTATTATTCAATTTACAGAATCCAAGTTTGTAACATTTAATTAATATACTTGAAATTTTTTTTTCTCCTAAAAAATGAATATTAATAAGAAATGAACTGATAACGTCATCAATTTAGTCAGAAGATCAGATTTCTCTAAAGCAAATTGGAATAAAAACCTCATTGAGAAAAATGGGTGTAATTTTTGGATTCAGCAATGCAAAATAATTCTAATTCAGTTGAAGAAACATAGACAACTTCCCAAAACCTTTTTTTGTAACTCAGTGTTATGCTCTTGTTGCCAGGTGTGTGTGAGCTGGTGTCTGTGCAGGTGTTGTCCTATCTGGCCAACCAGTGCTGTGTATTGGTGAACAACGATTGGATTCTGCAGTTGCAGTGGGAACATGCATCACAAGAACCAAAGACGATCTCCTGCTGCAGAATCCAGCTAACGACTAATGACAAACATACTGCTGTTCACCACTGTGTCTGTGCAGAAACCCTATTTGTCCTCTGCTCCAGTGGTCTTATATGTATCCTGCAAAAAGCCTCTTATATTGAGAGTAAAAATGCAGCTTTTCAATTTAAATCAGAGCTGCAGAAGCTATGTCTCCTCATAATAAAGCAACAGCCCCAAGCCAGCATGACCTAATTAGTGGAGAATTAAAGAAATCATAATCATGTAAGACACTAGTCCTAATCCTGGGAGCAGCATTCAGAATAGAATATGACTACTTTTAAAATTGTGGAAAAGGCTGGAGAAGGAATATGAGTAAAGAACATTAATACTGCAGCTTTAAACCAGGTTTATGAAAAAAACCCTGTATATAAATAACATGCTTTCTCTGTTTGTTAATGTTCCTCATACGGACAAGAAATTTAGCTATGAATGTGATGTCACAGGTAATCTTAAAAAAAAAAAATGGATTGCCATTTTAAAGTTTGTTTCGGTTTCTTAGTGTGTGAAACAATGCATTTCTGTCCAAAGAGTGTTTTCCCTAATCTGCCCATCCGATCAGATGTGCATGCCATTACTGATGGCTCTATGCTGGCCAGCATCGACATTCCTTCCTACCTGAGCTCTGGTTGGCCGGATGGCAGCCTGACTTCCTCTTCACTCTCCTCCTCCTCCTTCTGCCTTTTCCAGGTGTCAGCAGATCTCTGCACAGCTGTAGCTGTAACTCAGTCTCATGCAGCAGTCGCCATTAACCTTAACCACTACTTCAGGTACAGGAGCCAGTTCTCTGTTAATGTTTTCTAATTGCTTTGTTTACAGCAGTGATGTGTACCATTTCTCCTTGAGGTCTACTTTTAGACATTTGGGTGACAGTGATATTTGCTCTTTAATATTAATCATAAATACTTCTATGAAATATTTTTGAATGAAAATAACCATGTTTATTAATATAAAATAAACAATAATGATGTAAACAGTGACATGGAGAAAATGTTTCCAACCTCTGCTTCCAAGACGATTTCTTTAGTCATTCTACTCAAGTAAGTGCTACGGCACATTAGGACCACTGAGGGTAGAAAAAAAGAGTAGATTTCCACCAAAAAACCCGTTGGAAAAAAAAACAAGAAAAGTTGAAAATTTGCTAGAAAAAAAAATACTACTCAGAAATTTTGAGATGTATCAGAATTCTTTTTTTTAGAAATTTGCATATGTTTTCTTGAAAATGTCTTTTTTTTTTTCTTTAACAATTGATGCTTTCTTTTTTAAAATCTACAATGACCCTAGTACACTGTTGTGAGTAAGAGCAGGATGAGTTAATAATATTATTCAAGTAAAAGTAAAAAGTGCAGTGCAGCATAAGTACGCCCTTGGCACCAGAGCAGTTTTGACTATGGTTGGAAAATATTTTAGCTGTTTGGTTACTAAAAAACGACCAGCTGGTTTGTTGCACTTGAATAAAGTAAAACTGTCTTCCAGAGAACATCCAGAACACCTCCACTGTGTTGGCACCCTGTCCTCCTCCTCACTTCAGCACAAGGATCCAGGAGACCAGGACTCCTTGTCCAGCTCCAGCTCCAGTCTCGCCGCTCTTGGTTCACCATTCCGTTATAACCGGTACAACCACTGATGACAGACTGTCCTTTTATGATGCAGCATATGTTTACTGTCCACTTGAAAATACAGTTGTAATGGATTCAGTGCTGTTCCTACACATACACACAAATATCACACAGAGGAACTTTTTTTTTTCCAAATAAACTTGAACTATGAGTGAAGTTCCAAAATTTGCATTAAATGACAAATGAATATAAAAGAAAAACAAATATTGTACACCATATTTTGAAATAAGTGCGCAGAATAAAGTTTTCAAAAAAATTCAGTTTGTATTTTGGGATGTTGTACCTCTAACCATATGGTCATAGCTCATACTTTGAGTTAAGGATGTTGATCTTGTGCCTTTCAGATGAATAATTAATGACTTTGAGGATATTCAGTTTTTCTCTTCTTCTTTTAGTGCCTGGGACACTTGTCTAGCATCCATGTATGCCAGAGCACAGCAGGCTGCTTATCCCTCATCCCCCTGGAAGCCAGCAGGGGTTCCATGGTTCCACTCCCTCCCCCTCCTGCAGTCCCACCCAGCTGCCATATCCTCCCACAGCAGAGTGCCTCCCAGTGGGGCGACCGTGGCCTTCTCTGTCCTTGACTCATCCATTCCATCTCTTCTTGCTGTTTCTGAGTTCTCTGCTCTTTTGACCTTTGTTGCTCCTGGCAACACACACACAACAGTGGCATTATGGGATATAGAGTCTGGGAGAATGAGCTACCACCAGGCAGAAGGAACAGCTGTGCCAGTGCAGCACAGTGGAGAGAGACAGCACAGACTGCTGCTGAAGAGTAAGCCAAGCAGTTACACAGTATTTATTTTTTATGTCTTACACTGGTGCATATTATGTACACTTCTGATAACTTAGCCATTGAAATGCCATTTTAAAGGGAAAAATGTTTTTTTTTAACACCAATTGTCAACCCTTTGTGTACAGTTTGTATTTGTTTCCAATGTTTCTTGGGCAGTTTGCAAACATTTATACTAAAATATTCTATCCATAGGAAGTAGACAATGTTCATTTTAAGACTACATAGATTGATTATCCTGCCAGAGCTGATAAACATGTCATCACTCCTTCCTCACAGTGATGTGTGTGTTTTTCTTCAGGGTCAGGTGTGTTCCAGGTCTTGTTTTCCATATCCCAGCAGGATTTATTAAGCAGGTTGATGTTGTTTGGCAGTGCAGCAACAGTGGACACAGTCTGTCACCTTAACAGCTGGGGGCACTGCTCCATTCCCTTCCATGCACTGCAGGTAGGCATCTACGTCTACTACTACAAAAAAAAACAGATTTATCGATTGATTTCCTCTGTGTCGCTTCTTTTGCTTTTGGTTTTGCGTGCAGGCTGGACTGAAAAACCGACAGCTTGACACAGTGGATTTATACCTGAAAAGTAAAGAAAATATTCTGAACCCATCAACAACAGCTGGTTTTTCTGAGCAGTTAGACTCCAAACCGAGTCTCAAGGACAGTAAGTACACAAGATTCAAGAAGACTTGAACCATGACGGTGTGTAAACTAACGTATCACTCATTGCTTGGACTCCACTGGACCTCTACAGGTCTGCTATTATCTACTGCCAAAAAATATAAAAAAAGTTCACTGAAGCCTTAGAGTTGGGATATAAAGCTTCCAAGTGTCTGATATTTTTGCTAAAACATGTTAAATATGCTGATGAAGCAACTTAAAACTGACGTTTCAATTAAGTTAGAAGTTTGTTTGAAGCTTTTACCATATTTAAGACAAGTCAGACGTTAATTTAACTAATGGACTCACTTGAATATTTTATAAATGAAAATGGCTTTGCCAAAAAAGATGGCTATGTTTTCCTCGGCCCCCTTTTCAGCAGTTACTGCTAGCAAGCAATGATCTTCAAAAGAAGACATCTATATTTGCTTGCAGGGATTTTAGTTTTAAACTGTCTGGTTTCCAAATTGTGGTTTTCACATTGTCCAATAGATTGGAGATCATGCATAATCTATGTCTGATGTATTTTGGTATTTCAGTCTGTATGTAATGATACATGGCTGTCCTTGAGTTTGTTGGTTTATTTCCATGCAGGTGTCCAGGAGTTGTTGCCTGCCTTGGATTTATTGTGTTCAGCGGTCAAAGAGCTAAACAGTGAACCTCAGAGCCGACAGTTCTCTGAGCAGCTGCTCAACCTCACCATGACCTTCATCAACACACAGATCCGCTCTGTGCTCCTCTGGACGCACTGTAAGGCAAACACAGCTCGCAGTTACTTCACTTTACCGAAATGCTTTTTCACTATTTGGGATTCAAAGAGCTGGAGGTGTTTTGTTGTGCTTGCAGATGAGCAGTCAGATATGCAGAGCAATGTTGAAGTTCTGGGCAAGTATGTCACAGAGTTGAGGGGTTATATGAAGAGATTCCCCTGGGCTTCAGGCGACTCCACATCTGACACTAGCGCGCCCCTACAGGGAGCAGAGGGTGATGACTGGGAGCAACTTTCAACTGAGGTGATGTTTCAACTTGCATTTTATTTGTTGTAATATGAAAAACATAGTGTGTCTTTTGTACTGTGTTGTCATCAAGTATGTAATTATCAGACTGAATTTGTTTTGCAGGAAGTTATCCATCAGTCGATCCTGACCAATCAGATCCCCCGAGCTCAGGCTGTAATGTGGAGACAGAACCGGCCTGAAAAGCAGCTGTCAGCTCTGAGGATGGTGGGCCTGCGCCAAGTTTTGTCCTGCTTGCAGTGCAAGGATCTAAAGTCTGCCAAACAATTCCTGACCAATATGGTAAGAACACTAATCCAACTGGAAATTAGTACTCAGCTTGTAGGAATATTTCATAAAAAAATATTTTATCCTGGGATTTAGTAACTAAATTTGGTTTTCCTGACTGACATGAAACAGACAATGAATCAGTGTGAGTATTTTCAGATTTTTTTTTAGTGTGTTAATTATTAATAGATATAAATTCAAATGTAACTGGGTAAAATACCTTACTCAAAGGAAACTCACATAAAGGTTCTGGTATTGTAAACAACAAAATACAGACATACTGTACTTAATGAGTGTAAATGTAACTAGTTACTTTCCTCGTAGCTGTCCTCTGTCCAGACAGTCTCTTGTATGGGTATGAGATTATGGTTTAGTTATCAAACATTGTTTTCTTTAAGGCTTTTTTTTTTTACGGAAGGTGACAAAATTTGTTGAGATTATAGAAATTAAACAAAAAGCAGAAGGAACAGATGGTTAATGCAAAAATACCCTGTTTCCTTTAGTACAAAATAACTTTTTCAGAAACAATTATGAAGCTAGTTTGTAGTTATGAAGCTAGGCCTGTTGAATATTAGAACAATAAAATATGAAGTATAAAATATGTATTTCTGTGGTTGTTTGTATTAATTTCGTTCAAGCTATTTAACATTTTGAACAGGTGTTAGGATTATGCACATTATTGGTAATTTTGGTACCTGTTATAAATTTTATTTATTTATTTTTTTTATCTCTGTTCTCACTAATCTCTTTAAAAGACATTGTTTTTGTTGGACAGAGACTGAAATTACAAGATTATTGTGCTGAATAGCTCAATTTCATTTATCCATTTTTTTTTTTAACCCGTTTCATTTCTATTACTTCCACATGCAAAAAATTGTAGAAATGAAAAGATACGTAATTTTTACCATTCCTTTTGGTAATAAGCTGATTGATTGATAAGCTCAATCCCTGCCAACAATTTTTCTCACAAGGAAAACTGCAACATTTTGTTGTCTGCAGGGTCTCAGTGTGAAGAAAGAGCTTCACAGCATCTGCCTTTATACTAACAACAAAGATCTTCGGGAATTGTTGGTGAGTCAAACACCAAACGAGATGTTACCTTTCTGTGAGAGTTGACCAGGATGTTTTGTTTTTGGTACCTTTGTACTTTAATATGATTTTGTTACAGATTTTTTTGTGTTTTCACACATACTTTGAATAAAGTGATGTCATAATTGTTGTGATTTTTGTGTTTTCAGAGAATTTGGCAAATTGCCAGCCCAAACCTAAAAAGGTTCAAATATTCAGAAAGCTTCTTTATTTTAGTAATTCAGTCACAAATATGAAACTCATCTACAGCTTCATTACACACAGTAATTTTTTTATTGCAGTTGTGTTTATTTCTGTGAACTTGAATAACTTTGTCGTACTGTTAATAAAAACCGAAAATGATTTCTCAGTGTGCATTGCTAATATTATGGAACAAAAACCAGTTGACATTTGCTTTACTTCTAGTTTAAATCTTTTAAATTAAAGATTTTAAGAAGCTGCTTGTTTCTGAAGGCCTTGCAGAAAATTAGACCTTCATATTATTTGGGGAGCACTGGTTTTAACTGATTTTTCTATTCTATTGATTGTCCATGCTGGTCTGGTCTTGTAACGCTGTGTTCCATCCATCAGGTAGAGGATCTGTCAAAGCAGAGTTCTCTGACTGAAGAAGAGCTGGAGGGCGTCTCGTTCCTCTGTGAGATAGAGAAGCTTGGCCTGCTGCCTGCAATCTTCTGCCCAGCTAATCCTCTTTCACAACGGTACAGATAATGCATTTCTTTGCTCATTATTTGTGGTGTTAATGTGATTCTCATGGCCATGGGGGCGGGGGGAGAAGTGGTTTAAAATGATCCATGTAAGAAAATTAGAACAAATAAAACAATTTCTATACAGATTTACATTTTAAACATGATACATTTTGTGGAAATGTACATAGTCTATGTATACAAATCCATAAGACTAATAAATAATTTTCATTATTCTGTTATTTTATTTTTTTTTGTCTTTACTTAATGTAGCTTAGAAATTCTATATTCATCCACTCGATTTTTGGTAACTGCGGTTTTATGGTTAAAGTTTTCCTTTTTTTTATTCTTATTGAACAGTTGTTAATTTCCCACCCATTTACTTTTAAATTTGACCACCCTAAAATTTCCCACAATATTTTCTTTGGAAATTACAGAGGAATTTCTGACGGCTTAAATTTACATTGTCAGTATTGATATAGAGGAAGTGTGTGTTTTGCCCTTTATTATACAAACATGTTCCAGGTTACCTCAGATGGCTCATAAGGAGCCAGATTGTGAAGAGGTGCTGAAGGAGTTGGTGGAACAGAGTTCTGAGGAGGAGGGAGAACTCTGGAGGAACCTCCGACTGGACTGGGTGAAGACCTGGGATCAGAGCTGCCAGACGGCTGTTCGCCTATCCAGGCTGCAGCACATAGGTCAGGCTCCAAATCCAAACAAAACTAGAATGGCTCTGTGGTCCTGCAGCGTACAGACGCACAACAAACATCTGTCTCTTTTATCAGAGCTGAGCTGCTGTGACCCTGCAGTGTTGTGGCATTACCTGACTGCTTTTCACCACCATCAGAAGGTGTTTGACTGGATTCACAATCAAAGGACCTTCGGCTCCCCCTGTTGGCCTGACATAACTCCTGAGATGGTCAACAATAACACGGCGTGCAGCATCTTCTTCAAGGAGAACATCTTGGACCTTCTAGCTAGGCATAGAAGCTTATTTCAACCATTTACTTTGTCATTTGATTCCTGTGTTTTAAGCTAAAGTTGTTGAAAAGAGAACAAATTAATTCACATTTACACACTTATACACACAATACCTGCAATACCTGTTTTGATCATATGTTAGGATGCAGGATAGCAGCCTGGAGGACCAGGATGTTGAGTGGAAGTTGTTAACAATACTTTGATTTTCAGAAGAAAAGTATACACACAAATCAGGACAGTTAATTTCAATTTGTTGCATTTTCATATAGATATCCTATACTCACCTATTGGAAAGTAATGATGTGATAGATCCACCTCTAGCTCACATCAGACCTAACAGCAGACTTTATGTTCACACCTCTTTCTGTTTATTGCTTATTTTAGTGACAGCTACAAAATAAAGAAGGTGACCCACTGACCAACTCTGACAGATCATTTGAAGAGCAGATACTTGCTAATCTACCACAACGATGATAATTGCAAAATGAACAAGCCTAAAAACATAAATGTACATAAACGTAATGGACTGAATGTTCTGTTCTTTGAGTTGTAAATTTTTGTGTTTTTGGGTGTTGAATCCTGAATCGTATAACAAGTAAAAAGTGGTTTTGAGTTGTCATGGAGAGGTTTTTCTGTGTTATTTTCCCCTTTGTCAAACATTTAGTTCAGGCTGTAGATCTCTTCATCCTCAAACATTCTGTCTCATTTAATTATTAATGCCTCCTGCCACCACAGGAAAGGTGTGTTCATCCCAGATGAGATGTTGGACTTGGAGCAGCTGCTCTGGCGACTAGCTCAGGGTGCCGGGTTGATGACGTCATCCCTCCCCGTGTCTCAGTATTGCTCCCCGGTCGGCCTTAACCTACATAGTGTCTTCATTGCATTGTGCCTGGATCATAATCTTCAGTACCTGCTTTATACCTACCTGGAGCACTACAGGTACGAAAATGCTGTTTAGTTTTGATTCAACACATGTTTCTGTTATTGTGCAAAGCATCAGCTTTGGGTCCTCGTTCCACAGACTGACGCCCAGAAACTGCCCCCTCCTTACCGATCAGAACCTGCTGGGGAGTCAGCCCTGGTTTGAGATGATGGTTAAGATCCAGGAGATAACCAGAGACCTGTCAGGTGCCCTGTTTTCCACATGTTGAAAACTACATTCATGCCACTATTGCAGTTAAAAATGCAACAAAGCTCTTTCATGTATCTTTAGACAGCATGTGACTGAAAAATTAAATATCAGAAAAAACAATTTCTAAAGAAATTTCATGACTGTACATTTTCTGTCTTTCTCTCTCTGTGTCTGCAGAACCAGAACTCGTGTTCCAGGCGAGTCTGACCAGCGCTCAGGTGCTGCTACCTGGTAGCCAGGCCTCTCTGAGCAGCTTACTATTCGAGGGACACAGTCTGCTGGCGCTGGCTTCTATCATGTTTGCTCATGGTGGAATAGATAAGGTAAAAATGCCTCAGCTAATCAAAATGTCTTCCCTTTTTTAAAGCTATAACCGAAATTGTTACAGAAAAAAACTATAACAGTTTTTACTGTTAAAACTGTTAGCGTTTTTACAGAAAACTACAACAGCGATAATCGCAAAACATCTCCGTTATATAGTAATGCAATACAAACACCACGTTATATATGGTGTATATATAAATATACACATCACAACAGGAAAATGAATAGTTATAAAAACATGTTTATTTCATAAGGACCAAGTCTTTTGTCCTTCAAGACAGACATCGAGTGTAATCTAAAATCCTGATGACAGTAAGTTGTTGTTTTCTTGCCATTTGTGCCATGTTCAGTTTATTTGTTTATTATAATTTTGCTTTGATCAATTTACATTAACAAGGTGGGCTGCCTTTTTATCATCTGCCCTAATTGTTTTTTTGTTTTTTTTTATCTATTTTTTTTTAATAGTAGTCACATTATCTGCTAAATATTTTACCACTGAACAAGACTGTGCTGTTATGCATAGGTGGTGGCTCAGGGACAGAGTTCAACAAGTTTGGAGGGGACTGTTGACCCCCAGCTCCTGAAGATGGCACTGGCCCCTCATTACAAGCTGAGAGCCGCCCTCTTCCCATCTGGGAATGGCTCCTCCTCTGACATCTCTATTTATCACCTTCTCCAGGTACACACACAACCCTGTATGAAATAAAAATGCTGAAGTAATTTATAGGAGGTTAAACATTTACCAAAGAAATATAATTTGTGGTACAGTTAAAATACTATGTGATGTTACGTTGTAAAAGCTGATTATCTCTTAATGTGTAACAAAGTAATCCTTAATGGTGTTCTATCCCAGTCGCTTCACCCTCTTGACTCATCCAGGCTATTTAGTTGGCAGACTGCAAACCCTCTGAAATGCACTGGTAAGAAGCTCATGTTTTGAGATCTGTTATAGGCACACTTTAGTTTCTCAAAGGTTTTTCTAAGATTATTAAATGATGCCAAGCTATCCATTTAATACAGAGTAAAACTGATCATTTCCTTATGTTCTGCAGAAACATCCGAACTGCCTCATTTTTCTAGCCCTCATCTGGTTGGCAAGTTCGCTATAGTAGAACACCTGGACTTTCTTTACTACATCCAACATGGTCGACCATCTTTTGCATATGGACACTTTCTTATCCAGCAGCTGGGGGTCTGCAGTGATGTGAAGTTGCTGTAAGTACATCTGACATCAGCTTTTATTCTCAGTTTATTGAGATTATTGAGATGGTTACCAGGACAGGTAGATGGCACCCATGTTTCTGACAAGCTGCATATTTCTTTAGTTGTGTTTGCGTGCGTGTGTTTCAGGCTCCAGACGGTCTGGCTGCAGGTGTACAGACTGGCTCTGAAGTGTTTCAATAAGCCGTCTGTGACATCGTCTGCTGTATGTTTCTGTGAGCTGCTGGGAATCTGCAACCTAAAGCTGAGAGTCGACATCAGAGCCATGAACACCATCCTTCAGCACTGGAACCAACTGGACAGGCACACACCAACGCAGAATCTGCGAACATTAAGTAAACAACACATGCCAGTCCAACACGACATCTCTACGGTCCAATTAAACATAGTAAACTCTTTTACGGTTCTGTTTCAGTTTCTAAAGCAGTAGAGCTGGTGAATGGAGAGCCAGGAGCTGCAGCAGAGCTGCTTTGTTACCTGGAGGCTGCAGTGGCAGACAGTCTGGAACAGAGGGGGATCAGCAGGTTAGCCTTCCTGCTAACACATTTACAATTTACAATCTACTGCCCTTTATTAATAGATAATAGAATATTTCTGAAGGACTTGCTGTCACTGCTGTAACAAAGCAATCTGTTCTTCTCTTTAAAAAAATTGACTTTAAGAAGTTGAATACGTTTTCATGTTTTATATAATGTTGTACTTATTTGAAAGAGTAATTTTAACTGACTTAAGATAATATTAATTTATTCATTCTAAAATTTCAGGTTTATGTGCATATTTCCTTTCAAATGTTTTTACATTGATTGTTAGCAAAAATATTGATTTATATTTATATAAAGATTAAATTTATAGATGGCATTGTGGGTGTGGGTAAATGCTCACCAGTTTAGCTTTAGGGAGATGTACCTGGTGGATAACTTTAAATTGCAGAAGTGTGTGGTGAGTACACATCGAGGATGAAAACAGAATCCCACACCTTGTCTTTTTACTGTCCCACAGCAGTGTTTGCCAGACAACCCTGATGTGATGTCATGAAAAATGAAACTACTTACAGTGGAATGTCTGACAGATGTAATTCTGAGGTCTTATGTTCAGAAGTTCTTTCTAAGTATTGTGTGTTGTTTTCTCAGGTCTTCGTTCGAGGCGGCTCAGGAGTGGGCCTTACCTGTTCAGTTCTGTCAGCTCCACAGTCTGGAGCTCAGTCTGATTTATCCCAGCCACTGTGCCGAGGACAGACAATTTGTACACTTTTTATTGTTTGTCCAACTCCACAGTTTCCCACCACAGCAGGTGAGCACACACAGGACACACTCTATTTTTTTGTGCATGTTAGTTTATTTCAAAAATATAATTTGTGCCTATTTATTTTAAAAAATAAGTATTTGATCAATACTTATTTGATTAAACCTTTATTTAACTGTTAGTTATTTTGAGATCAGCAATATCTTTTACAAAAGACACCTGGCCGACAGCAGCAATATAATAAGATTTAAAAAAAAGAGCAACACACATTAAAACTTTCTCCAAAACACTTGCAGACAAGCACACAGTCAAAACAAATTGTCTGGTGTTTGTCAACTATTTTAGGGTCATTTTGATCAGCTGAATCCAAAAATCACATCAGGTCAACTTTCTGTCTATGGAACAACATAAGGATCAAAATGCATGACTTGTTCCTGAAAAAGAAATATTAACGGGAATGAACTGATAATGTCAGAAAAATGTCATCACTTTAGTCAGAAGATCAGATTTCTCTGGAGCAAATTAGAAAAAAACCTGATTGAGAAAAACGGATGTAATTTTTGGATTCAGCGGTGCAAAATAATCCTAATTCAGTTGAAGAAACATGGACATCATTATTTGTATATTTTTTGTAACCCAGTGTAATTATCTCCGTGTTTTTAAAGTTATTCAATGTAACAAGAGTTTGAAGTTGAAGCTAACTTAACCCTCGCCGATTAGAGACAACAAGATGGAAACATCCACAGATAAGATTGTCCCTTATCATTATCCCTTAAGTAGCATCAGCTACTTTGCAGCTGATGCTAGTGCAAATGAGTAAAAATTTAACTGGATGTTGTTTTCCTGCTTAAGTTCATCAGATTGTAAACTACTGGCTTTGTATTGGTGTATTTTTGGCAAGGCAGTCAAATTAGTAACACAATAGCGCCTGTTTTCTAGTGGCAGTACAGCAGAATTCAGTAAGAGCCTTAACAATATATAAATAGTGTTTCTAATAGTGTTTTTAAAAAAAGCATCTTGCACCATCCATTCTGCTCAGGCTACATACTGTAACTTATCCCTGTCACATATGTAATGCACTCGATATCCTCATTGTGCTTCTGAGAGTAATACAACTCTGAAGAACATTCCAACTGCTTATTCTACTAATTATAGCTAGTAGAATATTATTAATAGAATAATATTTTTTTTATTTTGGAGTTAAATTTATAGTTCTGAATTTCCAAAGATTGATGTAACATTTTTACTTCATTTTATACCTGTATAACAAGCGTAAACTTAATTTCACTGATGAAATTATCAACATTTTATTTTTCACCTGGCCAAATAGTTTGACACGTTAGCATACTTTCTCTTAAAAAAAGAAATCCTAACCAAATTGTTTAGCAAAATCCTCACTCATAGTTACACACACGTGTAACTATTAATTCTACTGTCAAATCATCTATGAATCTTTGAATTCTGTTTCCCCAGGTGAGGTCCCTGGTGGGTCTCTTTGACCCTGTCTTGCAGGCTCACCTCAGCCTTGCATTTCAAGACTTACAGGTTCACAGTCAGAGAAGGAGCCGAGACCCTGAGGAACAGTTGGGCTTTCTGGGGACAGACGTGGCCTCTGGGGGTTCTGAATTCAGCGGGGAGCTGTTCCAGGTGCTGCTGCAGAGCCAGGAGAAGCAAGTGTCATGGCGGTTTCTCCTACATGAGGCAGTAGTTCGAGACTGCCCGATGCTGGCAGGACTTGCTGCCTGTCTTCAGGTAAATGATCTAATCACATTGTACAATCCCTGTTTCGTTTTAGTATTCAGATTATTATCTGGTTAGAACAAACAACTACATGTCAAGTAGTTAGATTTAAGTCGTTTCACTTGTTGCCAAAACGTCTGTATTATACTAATAGTAGTAGATACACTGAGTTATATAAACTGTGCCTATCTGTGTTGTTGTGAAAAAGATAAGACCTGGTCTTAGAATCTTAATGCTGATCTAGTTGTTGGTTCTTTTCTTCAAATGCAACTGGCAGGGAACAGATCTGCTGTCCTGTCTGTGTGTGTGGATGCTGACCTCCGTCGCTGACACAACAACAGAAGAGGCCACTTCACACCTCGCCGAAGCCCCCCAGGACCATGACTGGACCCTCCACGACCTGTCAATCATCTGGAAGACGCTGCTGTGGCAGGGTCACATCCGGGTCCTCCTGCGAGGATTTGAGCTTTTTCAGCAGGTAACACTGACTTACACCCTGCAAAAAACAAATCTTACCAAGTATTTTTAGTCTCACTTTTAGTGCGAATTTCTTATTACTCTTGAAATAAGTGAAAACTACCTTACAGTGTCTGTTCAGCAAGATGTAGAAGTTTGTTTTCAATAAACAATTTCTTAATATTGTTGAAAAAAAAATACCTGTTCGATTAGCAGATAAATTTACTTCTAAGGCAATTTCCCTGAGTTAAAAGTGAAATGATCTGTCAATTTTCACCAATGTTAAGGAATTATTTACTTAAAACAAGCTCCTATCTTGCTGACAAGTTACTTTTAAATTACCGGTAGTTTTGTCTTAATTCAAGTGTACTAAGATATTTGCATTAGAAAATAGAGAAAAACATAGTTGGTAATATTATATGTTTTTGCAGATTTATTGTGATTTTAATTCTAGCAAAGAAAAACACTCCCAAACAATCAGTACTATCAATAACACACACTTTTTTCCTCAGGACTGCCCCCTGGTGTTGGTTCTGAGAATGTTCGAGTTGTGTTGCGATTACAGAAAATTCGCTGAGGCCAAGACAAAGTTGTTGGACTTTCAGAGGACACTTATTACTGTAAGTCAGACTAATATTTTAATGCTTTGTAAGGAAAAAAAATATTTCCAGTAATACAGTTTACACAGTTTTAAAATCCTTTCTCTTTCTGCTCAGAAGAATATGTTGATATTAGATGTAGCTTTATAATGATGAATGTCTTTAAGAGTGACCACTGCAGACTGACTTGTGGGTCATTTCACAACCAAATGAACATAAAGTTCAGGAAAAACCCGACTGTTCTTCCTGTGTTTTCATTTTTCTGCCAAGCTAATAAAATGATGCATTTATTTCATGGGGTATTTTCTTCATGTGCATTTCAAGTAGATTTGTATTTTTGATAAATACTGAAGGCTAAATACCACAAATTGTTATCCATGAGTGTTAAAGATTATAGTTGAATCTCAGTATGTGATGAGCTTAATTGCATCTACAGTTCTTGCATCTGTCATGTTTTTGGGATTTTTTTAATGGGTCAGCATCCCTTTATGACATGTGGAGCAGTACTGGTGTAGCCAAGAGAGAGCAAAGGGAGCGGGAGGTGGGCTAAGAAATATGACTGAGCTGAAAAGAAGAGAGACCGACACTGATCTGTTTCCTTTGGTGTAGCTCAGAAACGGAGGTCCTGCCGCTGCAGGCAGCCTTCCGCTGCAGTGGGTGGAGAACCAGGCCTCAGTGCTGCTCCACATCATGCTGCTGCGCTGCTCCTCCCAGTACGACCTTCACCAGCTGCTGCAGCTCCTGGCTGATGTTGACAAACTTCTCAAATCCAACGGTGAGATGTTCAGGGCTGTTGGTTCACAAAGTGATCACAGCATACATCTCTTACTGTCAGGATCAGCTCAAAAAATGCTGTTTTAATTAGTTTTCATCATATATGACCGGGGCTTGAATGAAAAAGAAGTTTGCACCAGATTTCTTTTGTTTTTGCTTTACCTTCTTCACATCATCAAACTGTGCGTCTCCTGAGTATACCCCAGGTGTGTTGGTGTGTATGTGTGTGTGACTCCTGCTGGTGTCTCCAGGTCCAGACTTCAGGAAGTTGAGCCAGCTGAGTCAGTTACTGCAAGGATCAGGTGTGACTCTGTCCCAGAGCCTGCTGCAGTGCACTTCCCCCTCCGTCCAGCAGGAGGAGTTTCAGCTGATAGTGGATGCTTTGCAAACTGGAGGACACTACAGCCAGGCCAGACAGGTGGCAGTGCTGGCTGGTCTGCCCATCCACCGCCTCCTCATGAGCCAGGTCCGAACCATCAGGTCACACAAGGTTTAGTTTCTAGAGTTATGTTTAAAATGATGGAAGAAGGGACCAAAATTGGACCCGGAGAGAAAAGTCAAACTTTGAATACTAAAGAAATTGCAGAACACTTTACTCTGTGACTAGAATATTCTGGCAGCTATTCATACCTTGTAGCTTTTTTGGGCGATTATTGTATTTAGAGTTTTGACAATATAATTTGAGAATGGATGAACTTGTTAGTGACAAAAAAAAAAAAAAGCTAAATGCATTGTGTCCTATATCTGCTTTCCCTGTAGCTGCGTCAGGAAGTAAACTTCCACAAGAGCAAGTGGCGGTGGAGACGTTTGGAGACCCGAGTGGCCTTCTGGAAGAAGTGCCACAGGCGACTGGAAGCTGACAGCACTGACCCAGAGTCAGCCGCGCAGTTCTTTTTGTCTCAGTCTGAGGCTGCCGCCGGCCCTGATGGTGACCAGGCTCAGACAAATGTTCTGGACATCCAGGAGTGCTGCTTGCTGCTCCAGCTCACAGCTCACTGGCTTTTCTTGCAAACTCCTGTTCCTGTGGATGAGCTACAGAGGCTGGAGAAAAAGCTGTGGTTCTGCCAGGTCCAGAAGCACATTCTCACAACTACAGTAGAGGAGAAGAGCATGTTTAACCTGCTGCCACCAGCAATCACGTCTGAAACCAACGAATATGAGATGTTCATGAAGGAGTTTTCGTTCTCTAACATTGCAGACCTGAATGTGGAGAAGTACCTGAGTCTGGAGGGATTCCCAGAAAAGCCTGAGGAGTTGGATACAGAATCAAATTTAAGTTCTGAAGAGAGAAGAGTTTTGGCAATACTTATTAACCAGTTACTAGATAAAGGTAGTATACATGAAGCCAGTCGTGTTTGCCGCTATTTCAGCATGCACAATCCAGATGTATGGTTGGTTCTGTGCTGCCATGCTCTGGCATGTGGAGTCTTGGTACCGGAACCACAACAGCAGACCTCAGAACACGCAGAGACAAAGGCTCTAACCCAGTGTATGTTCTTCTTTAACATCTTTTCTAAAATCCTGTCCTTCGTTGGAGCTTCATGTCATTTCCTTCCCTTGCCCATCCAGCCCCCTCTCTCAGCAGTCTGTCTTCATTTGTAATGGTGCCCCTCCATGAAGATGCAGTCACTGTCCAGATCCAGAAACGGGTGGATCAGTGTCGCCATGGAAGCATCTACTGCAAACAAGTCCTCAGTCTCTACCAGCTCTCCAAGGTCTGCACCCTCTCATCAGTACAAACTTACACATTTCTATGTTGCTGCGGCATTTTTCCTTAATTTTCTGTCATTTCTGCTTCTGTCAAACTGCCTCGAAGCAACTGTGATGCAATGTAGCTTACCACAATCAGAGTGTGAATGGGTGAATGACTGAATGTTGTGTTTGGGATCCTCTGGAATATATAAAGTGCCATACAAGTACAGACTATTTACCATAACTTTTCAGCAGCTGGTCAGCACTTATTTTCACCTCAATTTGGTTGTTTATTGCTGCTACACGTGTATATTCCTGAAATTTACTTACAAGCTCCATACTCTGATAAAAACATGTTACTGATCAACCAAGGCTCCTGGAAATCTTAGGATTTTCATAAAAACAATTCTAACAAAGAAAACTGTGAGAAGGTGGTCACAGGAAGCTGGAGGAGCCCTGTATGGGTGTTTTGAGGTTGGAACGCTCTGTGTGAGTCACACTGAGAGGATGCCAGTGTCATGACTGTCCAACTGTATAAAGCCATGTGTGGATAACCTGTTCAAGCATGTTGCATGTTCAGATTTAATCAATGAACTTATGCTTAGATGTTGTGGAGGTTGAGATGTATTGATATAATACACAAAGACCATCATATCAAAAGCAATTGAACATGCAGGAAAACAGTAGAGAATTGTACATAATTGCATGGATGCACAAAAGCATTTATAACTTGTTGGAAGAAATAAGAAAGTTTTTTTGTTGTGCACAAGTAACATCTGATTTGAAGACGTGTACAAGTAGTTTTAAAAATTTCAATTCTGTTCTATGAAAAGCACCAAAAGAGCCTAAGAAAAACTGTAAGAACATTGTCTTAAAGGAGCATATTCTATGTGATCTGATACATGAAACCCAATTAAAACTCATCTGTGTTCCAGCTTCCGTTATGTTCTGTGTAAAGTATGGAACAATGTCTCCTAGAGCTTGGAGTCTTTTCAAAATTTAACACAGATTCATAGATTAAGGCATGCAAAGAACATATTTACAAAATGAACTTTTCGTTTTTAGGAACTGCAGTGTCCCTTCAGTCATATCAGCAGAGAGGAGCCTCATTCTGTGTTAGAGAAGCTGCTGCTGTTGGTGCAACCAGATCGGTTCAGGATGGCCAAGACCTTCATCAAAACTCAGGGTCTTAGTGTTGACAGTGTGGCTGAACTGGTCTCCAACGCTGTGGTTCAAGGCCTGCTGGCAGCAACCCAGGAGCTGCAGCCTGGTGAGAGCAGAGCTTACTCTTACATCAAATGTTATTTATCCCTTTGCCTTTTTCTCAGTTCATTCTGTGTATGTTTCAACAAGGAGAAAGACTGATTTTCAGACCATCAGAGGGGCAGGAGTCACTGGTGCAACTGATCAGACTGTGTGAAGATCCAAACAAAGTGGGCCTCAAACTGCTGGAAAACCTCAACACTGTTCCACTGAGGGACCTGAACTCCAGTATGGAAAAATCCTACAAACATAACTGAACTCAGCTACTAAATATGATTTAGTTTTATTGAAATGGCTTTATTTGTATGTATCACTACATGACTAAGTACTGTAAACTACTTTTTTGCCTGTCCTCCTTGCTTGTCCTGTTTAGTTGTGGAGCTGCTGATTGTGGCTCACAGCTGCTTCAGTCTCACTTGTAACATGGAAGGAATTGTTCGAGTTCTCCAAGCTGCTCGTCATCTCAGCCACACCTACCTGGCTCCAGGAGAGCATTACAGCCTGCTGGTGAGCCCTCAGCGTTCAACGGAATTATTCATTCAATTTACACCCCAGATCTCCAAGGATTTTGTAAAAAATGAAATTATTTTTTTCTGAGTTGAGACCTGAACTCTTAACTCTACAGGTGTCTCTTTAGCTTTGTTCACCTGTTTCTTCTTATTTCAGTCATGCTGGTATTGTTCTGAGGCTGGAAGCTTCCGGTGAAGTTGAGTCAGAGTCAGATACTAACTTTATAACCAAAATAAAATGCCTACTGTCTACTGTGCTGGTAATCAGCCAGAAATCTTTGTGCCATACACATATTTTTTCAGTGACGGAACAACCTGCCCAGATTATGTGGGGTTGTTTGTAATTCTCTTGATTTGAACACAACGGTAGAACCTTCTCTTGGGTCAAACTGAGGTTGAAGACATGCTGCTGAATCCCACTGAGCTGCTCACTGGTTCTGTGTGAAGCAACTGAAATGGACAGTAACTTCATCAGATTGGTGTGTTTTTTCTTTTTGTGTGTGTGTGTAATGTATTTGTGTGTGTTCAGGTGCGTCTGCTGACGGGTATCGGCAGGTACAATGAGATGACGTACATCTTCGATTTGCTCCATCAGAACCACTGTTTTGAGATGCTACTGAGAAAGAAGTTGGACAGAGACATAGGACAGGTCTGACACACACACACACACACACACACACACACACAAAGATTTAAATGCATACAACTTTTTGAATTAGCAACTTAAATTTTTAAGTCCAGTTTGTAATTCTTTGAGCAGCCAGAGCAACATATCAGCCCCATCTTTCATTTATTCCCTTCTTTTTTTGCAGAGCTCGAGTTTGAAGACTTCTCTGCTGGATTACATCAAACGCTGCCTCCCTGCTGACAGTGAGAAGCACAACATGGTGGCGCTGTGTTTCAGCATGAGAAGGGAAATTGGAGAAAACCATGAAATAGCTGCCAGGACACAGTTGAAGATGATTGAATCTCAGGACTGGAGTGAGCAGAGCAAAATCAGACCCTACAGATTACCTGCTGTGATTTCTGTACAAGTTTCACTCATGTTGAATTTGTTATACAGTTGTGACTCCTGATCTTAAGAACTCATTGGTCAAGGTATTGGGTCTGCTAAAGGATGCTGCAGAAAGTTTCTCCAAGGTACCTCCACTTCCTTTTCTACACCTAAGAATAACTTCCTATGGTGCATGATAAATTGTTATTGTTTGCGGTTGTGCGTGTCCCTACCAGGACTCCTGTGTGCATCAGGCTGGTCGTTGTGTCCGTGCAGCTAAACTGATTACTCTTCAGCTCCACTTGTTGAACCAGGGATCCACCCTGCGCATCGTCAACCTAAAGCCTGCAGAGATGCACAGTGCCATCATGGCTCTTCCACAGTGTTACCAGGTGTGCAGCATCCCTCTGCTTTCTGCCGTGCCTCTTTAAATTCCAACAAAACAGGTGGCTCTGAAAGCATGGTCTAACTGAGACGTTGTGATCATAGTAGCATAGAGTATAGTAGAGGGTTTGGTTGTCTTATGCAAGGGAATGGCTGTGTTTGTGTAGGCATGTAAGCACAATTTAAGTTTTGGTCCCTGGGGGCTCTCATTCTGCTTCCTGTGTCTCAGGTGTTTGTTGTCGCAGAAGCGTACAGCTACAGTCCAGACTGGGCTGAGATCTTGTGTCAGAAAGTGGTTCTGAAGGGAGACTTTGTTTACCTTGAGGAGCTGAAATGCCACCGTCCTCTCACCTCCGCCCTATTTGAAGACATTTTCAGAAAGTAAGCCATAGTTGGTTTTCTTCCCCAGCCTTTGCCAAAATACATGTCTAATTATGGCTTTTGATAGTATGTCTTCTGTTACTCTAAAGGTTGTTCTGTGTGTCATTCCAGGCTGGACAGCGTCCCCAGCAGCGTCTGTTCCAATGTGAAGCGTCTGCTCAGTCACTGTGACGATGTGTACACCCGCTACAGACTGGCCTACCAGCAGAATCTCTATGATGTCACCAAAACACTGCTGCAAGATAACAAGACCTCCAGCTACATGAATGACAGACTTGCCAGTAAAGCATTTATCTGACTGAGCCGTGTCATGTTACTGTCAGGACAGTCCAGTCTACAGTCAGTGGTCTGTAAATACCCAATAAAATGATTTTGGTGGGTGTACAGCAATTATTCACGTGTACAAAATATAGTTTTATGAAAAACATTAAAATGACTGAACTTTTCTAAGCTAAATGATGTAAGATTAACATTAAAGAATGGATCATTTTTGTGAGGATTTCAGTTTCTGTCTTTGTTACTATGATTAGCAGCAAATTGGGTTAGTCTGTGAAAATGATCACAAAATGACTGTACAAACTTTTTACAATTACTCGAGTTGTACCTAAAACAAAATACAGTAGTATGGTCTGTCTTATGGTTATCAAATAATACACATATGTCAAGCTTCTCTGGTTCATCATTATACTGTCAGGAAGATCTAGTGAAGCATGCAATATGAAAAAAATACATTTTTATAAAAGTATACAAAGGCACACATTTGTACCACCATCATTAGTGTCTCAGAACCCTAATAAACCATGCCCATCATTTGCACCTCCATCAGAACTCAGGGCTGTAGGGGGCGCTGTCTTACAGTAGGAATCCCAGTAGGAACCCCCACAGGATCCTCTGGGATCCAGTCTCCTTTTGCTCCTGTTCTGACCCTCATTAGAAAGGTATTTCATCCTCTTCTTCTTTAAGACTTTCCTCTAGATTAGTTGACTCAAGAGTTTTGTGGAAATCAAAATGACTGATACAGGAATCAATTGAAAATATGAATAAAATCCATCCATTTTCTTCCGCTTATCTGGGGTTGGGTTGCGAGGAGTTGTCCCCAGGTCCCCAAGAAGGGAGGCCCGGACTTCCCTCTCCCTAGCCACTTGTTCCTGGTCCTCTGGGGGAATCCCACAGTGCTCCCAGGCCACCTGAGACCTGGGTTTTCCCCTGGCCCTCCTCCTGGTAGAATGTGCCCGGAACACCTCAACAGGGAGGCGTCCTGGAAGCATCCTGACCAAATGCCCCAGCCACCTTAAATGGCTCCTCTCCATGTGTAGGAGCAGCTGTTGTACTCTGAGTCCGTCCTGGATGACTAGTACTGAGGTTCTCACCCTATTTCTAAGGGAAACTCATTTTGGCCACTTGTATCTGTGATCTCGTTCTTTTGGTCATGACCATAGATGAGGGTAGAAACGTAGGTAAATCAAGAGCTTCGCTTTTGGCTCCACTCTCTTTGACTGAAGATGCTGCACCAATCCGCCTGTCAATCTCGTTCCAGTTTTCCGTCATTTGTGAACACAGTCTCTAGATATTTAAACTCCTCCACTTGGAGCAGGACATCTTTCCTGACCCAGAGAAGACCCTTTACCTTCTCCAGCTCAAGACTATGGCCTCGGATTTGGAGGCACTGACATCATCCCGGCTGCTTTGTACTCAGCTGGTAAGCACAGGCTGTCACCACTTTCCTAAGTACTTCATTTGGTCCAGGTGATTTTTTGGGGGTGTACAGTTTTGAGTACTTGACATACTTGGTAAGAGCTGAAGGACTGTGCGACTGGCAGTGTTTTATGGAAATGTGTGACCATCCCAGCTCAACTCTTGCAAAAACAAACAAAAAATGTTTCAGTTCTTCCACCAGGAAGGGGTCAATGGAAGGAACCTTGGTTTTAAGATGCTGAATGATCTGCCAGACCTGCTGTGACTTATTTTGAGCCAGTAGGTCCTTATGTGAATTCCGCTTCAATCATTTAAAATGTGGACATTCAAATGAGACGTGAATATTTGTCTTGGAGCAATGAACTACTGTAACCCTGATATATTTATGATACATTTACGCCGTCAATATTTTCTACACCACTGAAAGAATGTGATGCTTGTGCATTTTAATGGGTATCAAAATATGGTTTGAACAAACCATAAAGAATGTCACTGACGAAAAATTAGTATTGATAGATAATTATGTTGTCATGTATCACAAGGAGCTTGAGCATAAGTTTAATCCAAAATAGACAATGGAGAAAAAAGAAAAGTCTATGCATCGTCTTTTCTGAAAGAGCCTCTGTTCTTCAGGAGCTGGTTGAGAACGCTGTTCTGCTTCAGAACCCTCAGGTCAGATATGTCCTCTGCAATTACAGGTATGTCCTCATTGTGACAAGGCTCATTGTCTTCATCATCATTGCTGTCAGACAGTGCACACAGGAGGGCGTCATTCTCATATGTTGGGAAATAATATCTGGAGATCAGAGATTCAGAAGAGAGTTTAGTTGAGTTTGAACCAAATTTAATGATATGTTAAAGATGGGAATATTCAGATTCAATACAAGAGCATCATAATGCATCATGTTCTCCCGATGGGTTTCCAATGCAAAGTATAGACAGCTGACAGCTCTTGGTAGGACTTACTGTGGTTGGTCCCAGGTGGACGTCTCCGGCAGTTTCATCATGTGTCCTTCAGAGATGATGTGGTCCATCATGTCTGCTCTGGAATCAAACTTCTTCTGGCAGCCATAGCAACGGCTCTGGTGGATTTGCCGCCGGATGAAGTTGACCAGCTTCACCTGCTGGTAGAAGTTGAGGTCTGACAGAGGAGACATCAGGACAAGATGAGGATTTAATTAAACAGCCCTCATCCACTTCATACCCTCAAGTGAAAGTCTGGACTTTATGTCCGTGTCCACTATAGACATAACTTGAATATGTTTCAGAAGACATGTAAAAGAAAAAAGCTAATTTGGGGCAGTGTCCAATTACATGTGGTCCAAACTGCATATTGAATATGATAGTTTGTAAATCGAGCTGATAATCAGGGTGATGGCAACAAAGCTGCTGCTTAATGATAATGTCCTGTTACGTATTTTACTTACTGAGCTCCATCTTTAAGTTATGAAGATTAAAACCATGGGAGTCCTACAAAAATAACCCGACAACAGAATCAGAGGCACGATCACAATTGTGTTCAACAAACTGCAAACGAAAACAGGATACACTCCTTCTTTTCTTTTTGTAAAATCTCTGTACTTTACCTTCATGTGTGTATAAATCTGATCCATTGTCTCTGACTGATGGTCACAAAAGAGACAAACGGCAGAGACAGGATGGGCTTGCCAGTCGGACCAGTCACTGTGGACGTAAACGTTGGTCAGAGGGAGCAAGCAGATTCACACACTTCACAGAAAAAGAGATGGTCTCGTATGATGTGGATGTACACACATGTGGACAACGTTGTGTACGTTTCAACGTTTCTGTTGAGTGTGCGAGAGCCAAGCAGGCAGTTTGGCTTTGATATTTCAACTGAATGTTGGTGCAGAGCCAGATTTGCCAATGAGAAACGAATCTGGCTGAGGTGGAATGGGACTGAACCAGTTTGAGGCGATCTAGTGGAAAAGCAACTTTTATAAACTTGGAAAATAAATATGCACCTGCTAGAGGGCACCACTTCTGCAATGCAAGCAGTTATCTGATTGTTTTTGCAGTAAAATACAGTTAATATAGTCTCAGTAACTCCACTCCACTTGCATATAGAAAGTAGCGAACTTGTTCAACTGACAGATGAGATACATTTTATTTTGCAGTTTTTGGGTGTCACACTCCTATTGATGACACCCTGGGCAACTACCTGTATCGTATGTACATTACCAATACTTTACATCACAACACCGAGGGATACCAACAATTTTGTCCACATGTGTCAATCAATTCCATGTCTAGAACTGATTTAAGCTTCAATATCCAGCTCTTTGAATGCGGTTAGAAAAAGATACTTACTCATCTTCAACATCTCCCAGCTCCCGGTCATCCTCACTCTGGACCTCCTCCCAGGTTTTTCCCAGTTCCTTACAAGAGAACCAAGTAATGAGAAGAACTACCCCCAATGCACTGACTTCTTTATTTGCACCTCAAGTTAAGAGCAAAGGGCAAGAGACAGGAAGAAGACAAAGGGAAAACTAAAAATAAAAGTTTGACCTACTCTGCTCAACATTTTATCTTTGAACAAATTGCTAGTGCTAGCAATGTGGATTTGGCCTCTGAGGTTTTTTGTTTTTTTTTCACTGCCCTTCATTGTATATTGTTCAAAGTTGTCCTCTGTGTGAAATAAAAACACCTCAAAAGTTTTGAATTGTCAAAACTTCACATTTGAATTCACATTTGGGTCAAAGTTAGAAAAAAAGAGAAGAAATTAAACTGCTTCAGGTTCTCTTAGTGAATTGTAATAAGGTGATTGTTGTGGAACACTGGACAGGAACACATTCCTAATCTCAAAAAGGGACCAATCACAGCTCGTCAGCCATGGTGAATGAGTTGACAGCTCAGTAAGATGATGTGTCATTTATTTTCAGTGTTCCCAGAAAATTCATTTCATACTGAAGAGGATTATTGTCACTGAGCAAAAACAGAATCCAGACTTTTTTTTCTCAGAGTTCTGGCTTTAAACAGTGATGCAATGCTGCTGAGATGACAGAGGCAGAGACTATCAAAGAATGAACCGAAGTTAATGGACAGACACCAAGTGTTTATGCATCATCTAAACTAAATAAATTATGAAACCTTGAAATTATGGAAGTTAATCAGAGCCATTGCAAAAAAAAAAATGCCTTTAATCTCAGAATTCTGACTTTTAATCCTGACATAACAAAATTGTAACAGAAGTCTTTTTTCAATTTACCAGATAGTTGATCACATAAAAGCGGTCGTATTCATGGTTGTTGGCATTGATGCGACGATGAGCTTTCTTCCTCATATGGTCCTTCAGTGTAGATTTATCCCGGAAGATTTTTTCACAGTACAAACATTGCAGGCTTGTGGAGGAGAGAAAATACATCTTCTTTAGGCAACAGAGAAAATAAACTATTTTAAAACCAGTCACTACAGTATGCTGAAACCATACGAATGGCAACAAAGATGAGAGCAATAACTTATAGTATGCAGTAATACTGTGAACTCCTCTCAGATCCAACACCACTAACCCTAACCCTAATCCAACAGAAAGATAAAACTAAAAACATCACTGTTTAAAATCAACCACAGTATGTTTGTAACTGCAAAATAATCCAACCAGCACAGTGAAGGATTTTAATCATTGTCATAAAGTTTAAGAAGCACAGCTAGGACTTCATACTGAGCAACTGGGTTCAACTTCAAGAACTCAGTCAAGCAGTCAAGAAACAGTTTGGCCACTGCAGAACTTTAATCAGTTACAGATCTGTTTAAATCTGACCATTTCAAAACTTTAATTTTAAATGA